AAAACACCAAAAGGCATTCAATAAAACAGCTAGAAAGTACAGTAAGCCACGTCTGCTACTCACAGCTTGTCAGCATCCCTTTGAACGGTCTTCAGAGAACTTTTAACTTTGATATACCTGTCCAGCAACAAAACAGAACAACTGGTGCTTCAGAGCATTCTTTGTCCCTGATCACCTACAATGATCCATCAGTTACTTTTGTTTTTGCGGATGGAAGTTATGAGATCTATGTTAAAGATTTTGGGAAAAAACAAGAGAACGATAAGGTGTTATTCCATTACTCTGGCTCACAATTACACACAACAGATAATGCTGTTGATGGTGAGACACTCACGGTAGGTCTGAGTCCTACCAAAGACAAAGCCTTCTTGCTGCATGCCAGCAACGAGGGGCGCTCTGTGGAGCTGCAGAAATGTGAAAACCCAATGCCAGGCCAGACCTTTTTCCTTCCTAAGGAGCCCAGGCCTTCTTCATGTGTTTCCTTTGGATGTAAGAGCAATCCTGGAGTGTTTATAGGCGTAAAGGATAACCAGCTTGCTCTAATTCAATTAAAGGACCAAACGGAGCCTTCTAGAAGAGAGAATGTAAAATTTAAGCTCTCCTGATAAGTTTAAGTATGTGATGGAAAGCTATGGATCCTGGGTTGGGTAGCCCGAATAGCTCCCTTTGAAGAGACTGTCAGAAAAAAAAAGACTGAGATAATATTTAAGGTAAATAGTGCTTAGCATGTTGTGGAATGTTTTTCTTATTATGCTAAATATATTTTTTTTAATCCCCAGTTGTTTCTCATTTCCCTCTGTATCAATGTATATTCAATATAAATATTGGTATATTAAATAGCGTGCCGATGAAGAGGCCTGCAAATATTCTGAAGACATATAGACCTTCACTTCTTTCTACTTTCAGCCCAGAGAGAACTTCATATTTAGAAATATTACAATTTCAATAACCGTCTATCCCTTCTGTTTGTGACATACTGTGTCCTTCTGACCTGGGCTTCAGGGATGAGTGACTCTTGATATATTTGTCACCTTGGACACAATTTTTCTAATCCTTTCTTCCTATGTGCACAAGTCTTTTTGTTGTCCAGCTCCTCAATGACCCCACTTATTATGAAATATTCATTTGATTTCTGTTCTGCCTTCCTTTCTTTTGATCAACTGTGTTTTTGATATACCTTTTGCATCCCTACGCTTCATTTCCAAATCACCTGACATCTGAACGCTAACACCTTTATTCTGCTTTATCGGCCTGGTGTTGTCAAATTTTACATAAATCTATTGATAGCAAAATTTTTATTAATCATCTTTGTGTTTTACTGTTACTAAGGTGGTAAAATAATTTACACTCAACCATAATGATAACATTTTCAACCACTAATGGAATATTATTATTTATCTCAAGGCCTTAGCAATTTCTACTACAATTTTTCATAGCTTAACGCTCACAATAAATGATAAAAATAATAACACAATAATGATGATTATAATTTTTTCTGAAATTGTGGGCTTTTTGATTTTTAATTTGTTGCGGTCTATTGGATATTACTGCTGGTAGAACATAAGATAAAAGATGCTGAGAATTCTTGTATACAGGGAAACGTGTAGAGTAACATGATTTTTGTTCATTACTTTATCAATAGTTTTATTATAGAGACAAAAATAAAAGCAGAATTTAGATCATCCCCTCTCAAAACCACTAAATGTTAATCATGTGCCTCTGTATGATATATTTAAGATGAAAATTAAGTAACCAAATATATTCATTATATTGTTTATCTTCATGAATAAACTGTATTTTTCAAAACTAAAAAGAAAAAAAGAAAAGACTCGTGTGTTTTATTTCCCCTTTCCCCATGTTATGAGAAGAGTCTCAAGCAAGCCGAGGTGTCCTTGGCTCTGTTCTCAGGATGGCCAGTCCAAGAGAGGAATGACCACCCCGAAGCCATCCTCAGGTTGAACCTGATGCCTAAGTGCCAGATATAATACAAAAACAGGTTGGGTAGAGAGCCCTCCCTCCCTCCCAGACTCTTCTCACCCCCAAGAGGACAATGTACACAGCCCCCACCGATGATGTGCCAGTGTCCCTCATTTTTTGAGAGTCTAATCCGTTGGTCATCTGGTTGCATATGTGAGAGAGGGACTTGATCTATTTAATCTTATGGGCTGACATAGGATGAGTGGGTGTGTCATAGGATCTATTCCAAGTCCCCTTAGCAAATATCCTTTATGGATGGCAGCCCGCAAAGGTAGTCGGTGGAGGGATTTAACTCTAAGCTAGTGCCCCAGAGGAAGAATAAAAGATCAGATGGAAGAGATTGGAGTAAATGTGTTGGAGGATTCCTGTCTACCTTAAATGACTCATAAGTCTAAGAAGCCAAATTCCTCAGGATGTTCTAGGCGGTGGCAAGGGGCAGGTGTGATCAATTTTCACTTCTGCCCTGTCTCTACTTTGCGGGAGACACAAACAGGTCATAGCAACCTGGGCTCCTGATTGGACCTCTGCCAGCAGGCCTGGCTTGTGCTCAGAGTCTGCCTTGTCCTGACTGAGGAGCCCAGGAGCAACATTGGATTGGACGTGTCTGAGCCTCTTCTTTGGTCACAGAAATAGGAGGGAACAAAAGCAGATTCCAAGTGGTTGTGAGCGCAAAAGTCCTAGAGAGCCCCCTGACGGAGTCTGAAGAAATTCTACGAATTCCATAACACCTTTTGTCCTGGGAAAACGTTTCCCGAGCCACTGTGATGACTGAGTCCTTCGGATATCTCAGCAGAGAGAGTTTTTATTTACTTTAATTTCCTATTTGCATTATTCATAGTGTGTGTGTCTTAGGATTGGCTTCCAATAGAGTTTCTTTATTCCTTGTGATTTCTCCTAGTACGTTAACAGTTTCATTTTTGTTTTGAGTTTTTCCCCCAATGGAATTTGTTTTGGTTTAATGGGTGAAAGGATAGCTGTCTCCTTTGGCTATCCTGAAGGTAATTACCTTTCCTATGTAATTCTTGCAATAGTATAATCTTCCCATTGTGATTTAGGATTGAACTCTTCATTCTGTATTTAACTCCTAGAGGCTTCTAGGTCTGTTTTGGAGTCTATGCGGCGACACACCTCACTGGACGAATATCGTTCAGTTCGAGGGTCCCTCATGTGACTCTCACTTCAACAAATCCTCCCGTTTATGACTGTGTATTGAGGTCCCTTGTACTTCAGTCTTTTTTCTCTTGGTCCTGGGTTCTTCATTTTATTGTAGAATCGTCCTCAGAATTAGTCATGTAAAATCACAACTTTAAAAAGTATTGACCTGCATAGTAAATGTCCCTTTGTGCCCATCCAAAGCAGAAAGGGTCCAAAGTAAGACACCCAGGTACGCATGTTGAAGAGATGGTTCTGATGAGCTAAGCTGCGCCTTAAGAAAGTGCTATTGAACTTGGGAAAACTCTTCTCTCCACAGCTACGTTTCTAAGTCAATGCTCAATTTACCATGTCTCCTAAAACTTGGACATAACTCAGTCGGCTACAGAGATGACTGCGAGCTGTATTTCTGTACTTCCGGGAAATGTTTATGCAGTGCAAGCCTGCCTCCCTTACAGAAATTAACTAAGGCTGAAGCTAATTTTTATACCCCAAATTAGTATCTTAATTCTCCGAAGTACAGTGGTTCTCCTGTAAGAAAGACTAAACCATCAGAACCCCTTCATCTAAGGAGAAAATAGAAAGGTGTATAATGAAATTTTTGAAAGCCATAAAGAACAGGAGATTTAAAAACACAGATAGAGAAGGATAAATCCAACAGTATTCAAACTGGGACAATACATTTGCAATAAGAAGTGGCTTGTGTGCCTGAAAGATGGAAAACTCAATAATATTTATCTGCAAAATGGAATGAATAAGTGAAATAGTGAATGAGTGAGTGAACACATAAATTTGACCTTCGAACAGTTAAGATGTCCTTTACAAGGGAATGTTTGAACAAACCAAACACTGTACATCCCACATGGACCCGCTATGGATACACCGGATACCTCGCCCAATTTCGAGGGAACCACGCTGTGTTGTGGAAAGCCAGTCACCAGTGGTTCTGCCCCGGATTCCACTTGTAGAAGAGGCTTGGGATACAGTCTTTGAGAAGGAGAGCAGAGGAGTGGGAGCCCGGGGTTCAGGGTGGAGAGTGGGAGGGAGTGGCTGTGCCTACAGATGACAGGCCTCATGGAGGAGCAGAGCTGTGTATCTTAACTGTGAGGGTGGTTCCACAGTTCTGTACAGTACACGTGGTTGAACGGCATACCCCAGTGCGCACGCACACACACACATATACACACATACACATTACACTCGTGCATGTAAACTTGTAAATTCTGACCAGGCTCTGCGCTTTGCACCGATGTACATTTCTGAGTGTTGACACGTGCTAAGGGAAAGAGGCTGGAGCATGCGCCCACCCCGCCCGCCCCCTGGATGGGCCCTGCCCTGCCCAGAGCTTGCGCCTTCACCCGCAGGAGGGTCTCAGGCAGGGAACCCAGGTCTTGCTGTAGGACACCCTCTTAGTACATGACATGAGGATGCCGAGGGACCGCTGTTAGAAATCCTGCTATCGCCTCCTGTAGTCTGTACCCCGCAGGGAACGGTGCCCCAACAGCAGGCTAAGGATGATGATTCCAGAAGGAATAAGAGTCAGACACAAGGCTCTTGTACTTTTATGCATGGATCATGAGGATTTATTTAAGGGTCAGGGTGGTGTTCATGTGAGAAAATCCAGCAGGGAAGAAGTACAGTAATTGGGAAGATGTGTTGGTTGAGAGATTTCCAAGAAAATTCAGATTTTGGGTTCCTTTGGGAAAGAGGCAGGCCATGGTGGGCTGAAGGGGCGAGTCTACTTGGAGGCCAAAATCAGTTTAAGACTCCATTGGAACAGAGGTGGTACAATTGGCCTCTCATGACTCGTTTGAGTTGGACGACATTAAGAAGATGGTTGATGCCAGGCAGGTGGGCACAGGTCAGGGCGATCAGCAGCAGGAGCTGCTAGAACAGACTGGGCGGCAGCAGGGGGTCTGGCAGGAGGTGGGACGGCAGCAGCTAGAGATGCAGCAGGTGGGCCTGCAGCAGCTGGAGCCGCAGCAGGAAGGGCGGCAGCAGCTGGAAATGCAGCCAGTGGGGCGGCAGTAGGGGCTCTGGCAGCAGGTGGGGCGGCAGCAGCTGGATATGCAGCAGGTTCGGCAGCAGCAGCTAGAGGTGCAGCAGGGTGGCCTGCAGCAGTTGGAGCTGCTGCAGCTGGAACCACTGCAGGGTGGGCTGCAGCAGCTGGTCATGCAGGCCGTGGGGCGGCAGCAGGGCGTTGGGCAGCAGCCGAGGATGCAGCCGGTGGGCCTGCAGCGGCCAGAGCCGCAGCAGCTGGTGCCGCTGCAGGAGGGGCGGCAGCAGCTGGAAAGGCAGCAGCTGGTGCCACTGCAGGAGGGGCGGCAGCAGGGGGTCTGGCAGCAGGTGGGGCGGCAGCAGCTAGAGATGCAGCAGGGTGGCCTGCAGCAGGTGGGGCTGCTGCAAGTGGAACCACCGCAGGAGGGGCTGCAGCAGCTTGTCACACAGGATGTGGGGCGGCAGCAGGGGGTTGGGCAGCAGCCAAGGATGCAGCCGGTGGGCCTGCAGCAGCTGGAGCCACAGCCAGAGGGGCGGCAGCAGCTGGACACACAGCAGCCGGGGCGGCAGCAGGTCTCCTGGCCGCAGCCCTGGTCTGAGCAGACGGATCCACTACAGGAGTTGACCATGGTGTCAGAGGGTGGAGGGTCGGAGTGAGTTTCCGGGCAGGCGGGATGGAAGGTGTGGAAGTCCGCCTGCCCTGCTCCCCTTTTATACCCTGCTAAGGGGCTGCTGTCATGGGTGTAGCGCTCTCTGCCTGTCATCGTTCTTCCTCATTAACAGGAGATTTTCAAGTTAGTTTTCCGGGTTAACCTTTTCCAGATGGATGAAAACATTGTTTACTTTTCCGGATGGATTAGGATTCATCACTTGAGCTCTTCCTGAATCACCTCTTCCGTGCCTGTCCTCCTTCAGCTTCCTCAGAGGAAGCGGTCCCCTGTTCCCTTCCTTTGCACATTGTATGTCTTTGTCTTACGTTGCGTGGCCCAGCAGGTCTTCCCTTCGGTGATAAAGATTCTAATTAGGTGCGTTTTAGTTTGATGGCTCATTCACTGTGTGTCCGGTGGGCAGAGAAGACTGAATGGGAAACAGGGCATTACTATCTTGAGAAGACGGCTCTTAGGACTTTTCCTTCCCCATGTGTATGGGGTCCAATTTTCTAGATTTTCCCGTGCGAAACAAATAACTTGTCCTGCGGAGGAAAAACGAGCCCTGAAATTCTGATGCTCCTTCTTTCCCCTCAGCTGTATTGGGGTACGCTTCATATACAAAAGATTGCACATGTCTATTGCGTACAATTTCATGAGTTTGGACTCATGCATGCACCGTAGTACTCTTTCCACAATTAAGGTAGAAACCTATTCATCATCACTACAGGGTCTTGTGTCCCCAAGATTGAGTGTGTGTTCAGAACACTTAGGTTGAGATCTACTCTCTGAACAAAATTTTTAGTAGCATCATACTGTTGTTATTGGTAAAAGTATAGGCACAGTGTTGCCGAGCCAAAGTCTAAAATCTGTTCACCTTGTGTGTCTTTAGCCTTACACCCGTTGACCAACGGCTACCCATTTCCTCCTTCCCCCAGATCCTAACGCCCACCACTTTATCCTCTGCTTTGATGAATTTGACTGTGAGTGGTACCTGGGTGCTTGTCCTTACTCACTGTGAACCTCCTAAGGAGCGCCCACCGATGAGCCCTAACGATGAAGCATTTTCTCTCACGGGGCGGCGTCGTGATTCATAAGCCCTAACACGGGTGACGAGTCCTGAGAAAGCACCAAGGGAGAGACATTTTACCTCCTCTACATGCGTCGAGCACGTGGTATGACGAGTCTGCAGCCGGCCAGTACCGCGGTATGACAGGGTTTTAAGTGCTCAATAAGTGGGATCATGGAGCGTTTCTGCTTCTGTGACGGATTTCCCGTGGCATAACGACTTCCTGGTCCACTTCAGTTTGACAAATGAAAGAATTTTTTGAGGCTGAATAATAGTGACTTTTGTTGACGTATCAGTGCTGGCATTTACAGTTCAATGGCGATACTGAGTGGCAGTAAGTGTGCCTTACATTGAACTGAACATTGAGTGAGGTCCTGTGCCTTTTCATTACGAACTGCTTCAGTCTCTCCTATGGATGTGCGGTGGGGGCTACAGAGCAGCAGTTCTCCGGGTCTGCCTCTCCCTGCGCCCGGAGGGCCGTGGCCCCCGTGAGGGATGGTGCGCCAGGGCAGGGCTGCTGAGAGGGGAGACAGCGTTCGGGGGTGTGGGTGGTTCTGATCAATTCTCCCAGGTCCTTCCAATGTATTCACAGCTCCCCAAGCTCACGGGCCCTGTGCACTGATAACGTCTCATGTAGATCTCAGAGAGGCTGTCACAATCCGTCCTGTGAGATGTGGTGTCTTCGACAAGGGTGTCAAAAGCTTTTTTTTTTTTTTTAAATGGTGGAACTTAATCTTTATTTACAGGACACTGTAAGATAATAAATTTCACAATTAGAAAAAGAAACCCATTGAGAGGAGACGTTTCATACACTATGTACAGTTTGGAACTGTTCAAGTATAGTTCCATTGTAAGTGCTACAATATCAAACCACATTTAGAAAGAGTTCTTAGTAGAGAAATGGTTAACACAAACTTATACCAAGAATAGTACACAACAGACAACACTTTATGCCTCAGCTGTACCATCTAGAAGTTCAAGGTCCCAGGAGTGCCATCCTGAACTTGGAACGTATAACCATCAGAGGTAGTTTCTGGCACAACATTCTGATCTTCCTCTTCCTCTGCAGAGAAATACTTCTCAATCAAGTTCAATGAAGCTTTGTATCCAGATTCACTTTCATGGTTTTGTAGAGCTTAATTTTGTCCAAACCTCCACGTTCTTCGATCATTATCCTAAGTTTCTCAGTTTCACCTAGTTTCTCAGCAGCCTGGAAAATATCTGAAATGGCATCCAGAATAACCAGGATAATTTTGGTATCTTTCACAGTTAAGAGGTTATCCAATGGTTCTATTATGCCACAGTGAACAAGGGATACAATCTGCTCAACTGTTCCACCGCTTGTATAGTTGGTCACAGCCCATACAGCTTCCTTTTATATCTTCAAGTCTGCCTTAGACAGAACAACAACGAGGAATGGGACTAATCCATGATCCACAACTTGCTGTATCTGGTCCTGACGGCCAGCTGTGATGTTTGACATTGTCCACGTAGCTTCCTTCTGAATATTAGTCTTAGAGTTCATTAACAGGCTGGGAAAGACTGCAAGTGCTCCCGCATCTATTACCACCTGAGTCTGTTCATCGGTCCCAGTGACGATATTTCCTCTGGCTCTCAGCGCAGGAGTCACAATTGGCAATTCAGTAGCTCCCAGGAGCTTCACCAGTTGGGGCACAACTCCTGTTTTCACAAGCGTGTCAATCCGTTGATTTGGGCCACCAGTAAGATAGGAGATGGCCCGGCAGCTCTCCACTAATACTTCTGGGTCATCATGATGCAGGAGACGAACTAAAGTAGGAAGAATCTGCTCAACAGCATCTGATGGGGGTGCAGGATTCTTGTTGCGACAAAGGCTTGAAAGTGTCCAGGTAAGATACGTAAGTAACCGCATGCTAAAGATGACATATCAGAAACTGCGAGAAGAGCTAACAGAGGATCAACTGCACCGTCCTTGATGACCAAGTCTCGGAAAACCGAACCATCACCTGCAGTGTTTCCTAGAGCCCATACAGCTTGTTCCCTGATGTGAGCATGAGGAGATGCCAACAGAAATGAATGCTGGGATAGCACCTCCATCTACTACAGCCTTGGTCTGTTCCGATGTTCCGGAAGCAATGTCAGTGAGGGCCCAGGCAGATTCAAACTGAATGGGACTCCAATCAGTTCTGCCCAAGAAGGACACAAATTTTGGAATGAAACCAGCCCGGATTATGTTGTCTATGGGTGGTTGTTTTCCCCTAGAAAGCAGTTTCCTTGCAGCCTGGGTAGCTTGGAGTTGGCTTTCCAAACTGTTGCTATTTATGCCTTTGACAATGTCCTCAACAGACCCATTATAATGCCCTGGTTGTTGCGGTTTCCCTACAGTGGAGAAGTAGCATCATCAGGAAACGAGCTTACATTTCTCCTTTTCAGCATCTGTTCATCCTTCTTAGCTTTTCTCAGGTCCACATTAACTTCTATTCGGAGGCGTCTCATTTCCGTACTGTCTTTCCCCTTGTTCTTAAATCTGTCAAGGCGGGCAGCTGGTGAATTAGCCTTCTCGTTGGTGGACATGGTTACGAGGCAAAGGGAGACGGCTACGCAGCCGGTTTCGTCTTTTCACAGGAGACGGTGCGAGACGCACAGGCTGCGGTTCGGTTGCTCTGAAAACGTCCAACACTGATCATCACGAAGACCGTGTCAGATGTCAAAAGCTTTTCAACCGCCATGCTATCATTGAGCATAGTCGGTCTCCCCCAATGTGACGGCCTCCAAATATTTGATGAAAAGACTCGCATATTTTCCTTCCCGTTGCACATGTTATGATAAGACTGTCAGCCAGACCGAGGTGTCCGTGGCTCTGTCCTCAGGACGGCCAGTCCAAGAGAGGAATGGCTACCCAGAAACCATCTTCAAGTTGAACCTGATACCGAAGTGCCAGACATAATACAAAAACAGATGTTATGGTAGTGAGCCCTCCCTCCTCCCAGGCTCTCCTTGATCCCAGAAGAAAATGTATACAGGACCCCACTGATGATGTGTCCGTGTCCCTCATTTTTTGAGACACTGGCCTGTTGATCCTCCGGTTGCATATGTGAGAGAGGGACTGACCCTAATTATAGTAATGGGCTGATATCGGATGAGTGGGTGTGTCATGGGATCTATTGGAATCCCCTCAGCAAATATCTGTTTTGGAAAGCAGCCCGCATAGGTAGTCAGTGGAGGGACTTAACTCTACGCTAGTGTCCCAGAGGAAGAATCAAAGACCAGATGGCGGAGGCTGGAGCAAATGCATTGGAGGATCCTTTCCACCTTGAATGACTTATAAGTCTAATAAGCCATATTCCTCAGGATGTCCTATTTTGTTCTGCTGTGAGTGGGATCAATTTTCCCTTCTGCCCTGTCTCCACTTTTCAGGAGACACAAACAGGTCATAGCAACCTGGGCTCCTGATTGGACCTCTGCCGGCAGGCCTGGCTTGTGCTCAGAGTCTGCCTTGTCCTGACTGAGGAGCCCAGGAGCAACATTGGATTGGACGTGTCTGAGCCTCATCTTTGGTCACAGAAATAGGAGGGAACAAAAGCAGATTCCAAGTGGTTGTGAGCGCAAAGGTCCTAGAGAGCCCCCTCACGGAGTCTGAAGAAATTCTACGAATTCCATAACACCTTTTGTCCTGGGAAAATGTTTCCCGAGCCACTGTGATGACTGAGTCCTTCGGATATCTCAGCGGAGAGAATTTTTATTTACTTTAATATCCTATTTGCATTATTCATAGTGTGTGTGTCTCAGGATTGGCTGCCAATAGAGTTTCTTTATTCCTCGTGATTTCTCCTAGTACATTAACAGTTTCATTTTTGTTTTGAGTTTTTCCCCCAATGGAATTTGTTTTGGTTTAATGGGTGAATGGATAGCTCTCTCCTTTGTCTATCCTAGAGGTGACTAGCTTTCCTATGTAATTCTTGCAATAGTATTATCTTCCCATTGTGATTTAGGATTGAACTCTTCATTCTGTATTTAACTCGTAGAGGCTTCTAGGTCTCTTTTGGAGTCTATGCAGCGACACACCTCACTGGACGAATATCGTTCAGTTTGAGGGTCCCTCATGTGACTCTCACTTCAACAAATCCTCCCATTTATGACTGTGTATTGAGGTCCCTTGTACTTGAGTCTTTTTATCTCTTGTTCCTGTGTTCTTGATTTTATTGTAGAATCGTCCTCAGAATTAGTCATGTAAAATCACAACTTTAAAAAGTATTGACCTGCATAGTAAATGTCCCTTTGTGCCCATCCAATGCAGAAAGGGTCCAAAGTAAGACACCCAGGCACGCGTGCTGAAGAGATGGTTGTGACGAGCTAAGTTGCGCCTTAAGAAAGTGCTATTGAACTTGGGAAAACTCTTCTCTCCACAGCTACGTTTCTAAGTCAATGCTCAATTTACCATGTCCCTAAAACTTGGACATAACTCAGGAGGCTACAGAGATGACTGCGAGCTGTATTTCGGTACTTCCGGGAAATGTTTACGCAGTGCAAGCCTGTCTCCCTTACAGAAATTAACTAAGGCTGAAGCTAATTTTTATACCCCAAATTAGTATCTTAATTCTCAGAAGTACAGTGGTTCTCCTGTAAGAAAGACTAAACCATCAGAACCCCTTCATCTAAGGAGAAAATAGAAAGGTGTATAATGAAATTTTTGAAAGCCATGAAGAACAGGAGATTTAAAAACAGACAGAGAAGGATAAATCCAACAGTATTCAAAGTGGGACAATACGTTTGCAATAAGAAGTGGCTTGTGTGCCTGAAAGATGGGAAACTCAATAATATTTTTCCGCAAAATGGAATGAATAAGTGATATAGTGAATGAGTGAGTGAACACATAAATTTGACCTTCGAACAGTTGAGATGTCCTTTACAAGGGAATGTTTGAACAAACCAAACACTGTACATCCCTAACATGGACCAGGTAGGCTGGATACACCGGATACCTCACACAATCTCCAGGGAACGACGCTGTGTTGTGGAAAGCCTGTGACCAGTGGTTCCACCCCAGATTCCACTTCTAGAAAGTCTTGGAATACAGTCTTTGAGAAGGAGAGCAGAGGAGTGGGAGCCCAGGGTTCTGAATGGTGCTTAGGAGGGAGTCAATGTGACTTCAAAGGACAAGCCTCATGGAGGAGCAGAGCTGTGTATCTTAATTGTGAGGGTGGTTCCACAGTTCTGTACAGTACACGTGGTTGAATGGCATACCCCAGTGCGCACGCACACACACACATACACACACATATACATTGCACTCGTGCATGTAAAACTGGTAAATTCTGACCAGGCTCTGCGCTTTGCACCGATGTACATTTCTGAGTGTTGACACGTGCTAAGGGAAAGAGGCTGGAGCATGCGCCCACCCCGCCCGCCCCCTGGATGGGCCCTGCCCTGCCCAGAGCTTGCGCCTTCACCCGCAGGAGGATCTCAGGCAGGGAATCCAGGTCTTGCTGTAGGAAACCCTCTTAGTACCTGACATGAGGATGCCCAGGGACTGCAGTTAGAAATCCTGGTATCGCCTCCTGTAGTCTGTTCCCCGCAGGGAACGGTGCCCCAAAGGCAGGCTAAGGATGATGATTCCAGAAGGATTAAGAGTCAGACACAAGGCTCTTATACTTTATGCATGGATCATGAGGATTTATTTAAGGGTCAGGGTGGTGTTCATGTGAGAAAATCCGGCAGGGAAGAAGTATAGCAATTGGAAAGAGGTGTTGGTTGAGAGATTTCCGAGAAAATTCAGATTTTGGGTTCCTTTGGGAGAGAGGCAGGCCATGGTGGGCTGAAGGGGCGAGTCTACTTGGAGGCCAAAATCAGTTTAAGACTCCATTGGAACAGAGGTGGTACAATTGGCCTCTCATGACTCGATTGAGTTGGACGACGTCAAGAAGGTGGTTGATGCCAGGCAGGTGGGCACAGGTCAGGGCGATCAGCAGCAGGAGCTGCTAGAACAGACTGGGCGGCAGCAGGGGGTCTGGCAGCAGGTGGGACGGCAGCAGGTAGAGATGCAGCAGGTGGGCCTGCAGCAGCTGGAGCCGCAGCAGCTGGAGCCACAGCAGGAGGGGCGGCAGCAGCTGGAAATGCAGCAGGAGGGGCGGCAGCAAGGGGTCTGGCAGCAGGTGGGGCGGCAGCAGCTAGAGATGCAGCAGGTGGGCCTGCAGCAGCTGGAGCCGCAGCAGCTGGAGCCACAGCAGGAGGGGCGGCAGCAGCTGGAAATGCAGCAGGAGGGGCGGCAGCAGGGGGTCTGGCAGCAGGTGGGGCGGCAGCAGCTAGAGATGCAGCAGGTGGGCTTGCAGCAGCTGGAGCCACAGCAGGACGGGCGGCAGCAGCTGGACACACAGCAGGTGGGGCGGCAGCAACTAGAGGTGCAGCAAGTGGGCCTGCAGCAGCTGGAGCCGCAGCAGCTGGAACCACAACAAGAGGGGCGGCAGCAGCTGGCAATGCAGCAGGCTGGGCGGCAGCAGGGGATCTGGACACAGGTCGGGCAACAGCTGGGGCGGCAGCAAGTGGTATTGCAGCAGGTGGTCTGGCAGCAGCTGGGGCCGCAGGAGGTCTCCTGGCCGCAGCCCTGATCAGAGCAGACGGATCCACTACAGGAGTTGACCATGGTGTCCGAGGGTGGAGGTTCTGGGTGAGTTTGCAGGAAGGTGGGTGGTTTGGAACGTTTGGAAGGTGTGGAAGTCTGCCCGCCCCAGCTCCCCTTTTATACCCTGCTAAGGGGCTGCTGTCATCAGACGTAGTGCTCTTTCCTTGTTGTTGTTTATCCTAAGAAACTGGCAATTATCAAATTAGCAAAGTTTGTTTTCCTGGTCAACTTCTTCAAGATGGATGGAAGACATTGTTTACTTTTCCTGATAAGTTAGAATTCATCAGTTCCTCTCTTCCTGAATCACTGCTTACCTGTCTCTGCTGCTTCATCTTCCTCAAAAGAACCTGTCACGTGTTCCTTCCTTTTGGCATTGTATGCCTTAGTCTCCGGCACGACTCCCTAGGGTGATAAAGATTCTAAAAGGTGCATTTTAGTTTGATGGCTCATTCATTGTGGGTTATATGGGCAGAGAGGATTGAATGGGAAACAGGGCATCACTAACATGAGGAAAGGCTCTTAGGACTTTTCCTTCCCCATGTGCATGGTGACCAATTTTCTAGCCATTCTGGTGGGAAACAAATAACTTGTTCTGAGGAGGAAAAGTGAGTCCTGAAATTCCGCTGTTCCTTCTTTCCCCTCAGCTGTATTGGGGTACGCTTAAAATACAAAAGACTGCACATGTCTGATGCATACAATTTGATGAGTTTGGACTCATGCATGCACCGTAGCACTATTTCCACAATTAAGGGAGAAACCTATTCATCACCACTGCAGGGCTCTTGCGTCACCTACTTTTGTGTGTGTGTGTGTTAAGAACACTTAGCATGAGATCTACTCTCTTAACAAAACTTTTAGTAGCATCATACTGTTGTTATTGGTAAAACTATAGGCACCGTGGTACAGAGCCGATGTCTAAAATCTCTTCACCTCATGTATCTTTACCCGTACACCCATTGACCATCAGCTGCCAATTTCTTCTTTCCCCCACTTCCTAAAACCCACCATATTACCCTCTGTTTCGATTTATTTGACTGTGAGTGGTACCGAGGTGCTCATCGTTAGTGAACCTCCGAAGGAGCGCCGAAACCGATGAGCCCTAACGATGAAGCATTTTCTCTCGTGGGGCCGCGTCGTGATTCATGAGCCCTAACACGGGTGACGAGTCCTGAGAAAGCACCAAGGGAGAGACATTTTACCTCCTCTACATGCGTCGAGCACGTGGTATGATGAGTCTGCAGCCGGCCAGTACCGCGGTATGACGGGGTTTTAAATAGCTCAACAAGTGGGATCATGGAGCATTTCTGCTTCTGTGATGGATTTCCCGTGGCATAACGACTTCCAGGTCCACTTCAGTTTGACAAATGAAAGAGTTTTTTGAGGCTGAATAATAGTGACTTTTGTTGACGTATCAGTGCTGGCATTTACAGTTCACTGGCAATACTGAGTGGCAGTGAGTGTACCTTACATTGAACTGAACATTGAGTGAGGTCCTGTGCCTTTTCATTACGAACTGCTTCAGTCTCTCCTATGGATGTGCGGTGGGGGCTACAGAGCAGCAGTTCTCCGGGTCTGCCTCTCCCTGCGCCCGGAGGGCCGTGGCCCCCGTGAGCGATGGTGCGCCAGGGCAGAGCTGCTGAGAGGGGAGACAGCGTTCGGGGGTGTGGGTGGTTCTGATCAATTCTCCCAGGTCCTTCCAATGTATTCACACCTCCCCAAGCTCACGTGCCCTGTGCACTGATAACGTCTCACGTGGATCTCAGAGAGGCTCTGACGTTCCATCCTGTGGGATTTGGTGTCTTGGGCAAGGACGTCTAAAGCTCTTGAACCATGATGCTATCATTCAGCATAGTCAGCCTCTCCCAACATGATGTCCTCCGGATATTTTGATGAAAAGACTCTTCTGGGGGATGAGTCAGCTCTGGTATCCAGCTGGCTACTCTCTCAGTTCTGTCCCCAATGCCTCCTTCCCCAGTCTCCCCTCAGGCATCTCCAGCCCACTCTGCCCCTGCCTTTGCTGGAGACCAGGAAGCCTGAAAAGGAAAGCCTGAAATGAAGTATTGAACCACCATAATTTCCCCAACAAAGATGAACAACTTAACAGGAAAAACCCTCGTATAATCTTCCAGATTGAGAAAATCCCAACAGACAGTCCAAGAAGGTTACCAGATGTAGTTTATGTAGATACGTTCTGATCTTATCATAGGAAACAGGACCTGTTACTTTAGGAAAAAAAAAAAAAAACACCAAAAGGCATTCAATAAAACAGCTAGAAAGTACAGTAAGCCACGTCTGCTACTCACAGCTTGTCAGCATCCCTTTGAACGGTCTTCAGAGAACTTTTAACTTTGATATACCTGTCCAGCAACATAACAGAACAACTGGTGCTTCAGAGCATTCTTTTTCTCTGATCACCTACAATGATCCATCAGTTACTTTTGTTTTTGCGGATGGAACTTATGAGATCTATGTTAAAGATTTTGGAAAAAAACAAGAGAACGATAAGGTGTTATTCCATTACTCTGGCTCACAATTACACACAACAGATAATGCTGTTGATGGTGAGACACTCACGGTAGGTCTGAGTCCTACCAAAGACAAAGCCTTCTTGCTGCATGCCAGCAACGAGGGGCGCTCTGTGGAGCTGCAGAAATGTGAAAACCCAGTGCCAGGCCAGACCTTTTTCCTTCCTAAGGAGCCCAGGCCTTCTTCATGTGTTTCCTTTGGATGTAAGAGCAACCCTGGAGTGTTTATAGGCGTAAAGGATAACCAGCTTGCTCTAATTCAATTAAAGGACCAAACGGAGCCTTCTAGAAGAGAGAATGTAAAATTTAAGCTCTCTTGATAAGTTTAAGTATGTGATGGAAAGCTATGGATCCTGGGTTGGGTAGCCCGAATAGCTCCCATTGAAGAGACTGTCAGAAAAAAAAAGACTGAGATAATATTTAAGGTAAATAGTGCTTAGCATGTTGTGGAATGTTTTTCTTATTATGCTAAAAATATTTTTTTAATCCCCAGTTGTTTCTCATTTCCCTCTGTATCAATGTATATTCAATATAAATATTGGTATATTAAATAGCGTGCCGATGAAGAGGCCTGCAAATATTCTGAAGACATATAGACCTTCACTTCTTTCTACTTTCAGCCCAGAGAGAACTTCATATTTAGAAATATTACAATTTCAATAACCGTCTATCCCTTCTGTTTGTGACATACTGTGTCCTTCTGACCTGGGCTTCAGGGATGAGTGACTCTTGATATATTTGTCACCTTGGACACAATTTTTCTAATCCTTTCTTCCTATGTGCACAAGTCTTTTTGTTGTCCAGCTCCTCAATGACCCCACTTATTATGAAATATTCATTTGATTTCTGTTCTGCCTTCCTTTCTTTTGATCAACTGTGTTTTTGATATACCTTTCGCATCCCTAAGCTTCATTTCCAAATCACCTGACGTCTGAACGCTAACACCTTTATTCTGCTTTATCGGCCTGGTGTTGTCAAATTTTACATAAATCTATTGATAGCAAAATTTTTATTAATCATCTTTGTGTTTTACTGTTACTAAGGTGGTAAAATAATTTACACTCAACCATAATGAAAACATTTTCAACCACTAATGGAATACTTATTATTTATCTCAAGGCCTTAGCAATTTCTACTACAATTTTTCATAGCATAACACTCACAATAAATGATAAAAATAATAACAGAATAATGATGATTATAATTTTTTCTGAAATTGTGGGCTTTTTGATTTTTAATTTGTTGCGGTCTATTGGATATTCCTGCTGGTAGAACATAAGATAAAAGATGCTGAGAATTCTTGTATACAGGGAAACGTGTAGAGTAACATGATTTTTGTTCATTACTTTATCAATAGTTTTATTATAGAGACAAAAATAAAAGCAGAATTTAGATCATCCCCTCTCAAAACCACTAAATGTTAATCATGTGCCTCTGTATGATATATTTAAGATGAAAATTAAGTAACCAAATATATTCATTATATTGTTTATCTTCATGAATAAACTGTATTTTTCAAAACTAAAAAGAAAAAAAGAAAAGACTCGTGTGTTTTATTTCCCCTTTCCCCATGTTATGAGAAGAGTCTCAAGCAAGCCGAGGTGTCCTTGGCTCTGTTCTCAGGATGGCCAGTCCAAGAGAGGAATGGCCACCCCGAAGCCATCCTCAAGTTGAACCTGATGCCTGAGTGCCAGACATAATACAAAAACAGATGTTCGGTAGTCAGCCCTCCTTCCCTCCCAGACTCTTCTGAACCCCAAGAGGACAATGTACACAGCACCCACCGATGATGTGTCAGTGTCCCTCATTTTTTGAGAGTCTAATCCATTGGTCATCTGGTTGCATCTGTGAGAGAGGGACTTGATCTATTTAATCTTATGGGCTGACATAGGATGAGTGGGTGTGTCATAGGATCTATTCCAAGTCCCCTTAGCAAATATCCTTTATGGATGGCAGCCCGCAAAGGTAGTCGGTGGAGGGATTTAACTCTAAGCTAGTGCCCCAGAGGAAGAATAAAAGATCAGATGGAAGAGATTGGAGTAAATGTGTTGGAGGATTCCTTTCTACCTTAAATGACTCATAAGTCTAAGAAGCCAAATTCCTCATGATGTTCTAGGCGGTGACAAGGGGCAGGTGTGATCAATTTTCACTTCTGCCCTGTCTCTACTTTGCGGGAGACACAAACAGGTCATAGCAACCTGGGCTCCTGATTGGACCTCTGCCAGCAGGCCTGGCTTGTGCTCAGAGTCTGCCTTGTCCTGACTGAGGAGCCCAGGAGCAACATTGGATTGGACGTGTCTGAGCCTCTTCTTTGGTCACAGAAATAGGAGGGAACAAAAGCAGATTCCAAGTGGTTGTGAGCGCAAAAGTCCTAGAGAGCCCCCTGACGGAGTCTGAAGAAATTCTACGAATTCCATAACACCTTTTGTCCTGGGAAAACGTTTCCCGAGCCACTGTGATGACTGAGTCCTTCGGATAGGTCACTGGAGAGAGATTTTATTTACTTTAATTTCCTATTTGCGTTATACATAGTGTGTGTGTCTTAGGATTGGCTTCCAATAGAGTTTCTTTATTCCTCGTGATTTCTCCTAGTACGTTAACAGTTTCATTTTTGTTTTGAGTTTTTCCCCCAATGGAATTTGTTTTGGTTTAATGGGTGAAAGGATAGCTGTCTCCTTTGTCTATCCTGAAGGTAATTACCTTTCCTATGTAATTCTTGCAATAGTATAATCTTCCCATTGTGATTTAGGATTGAACTCTTCATTCTGTATTTAACTCCTAGAGGCTTCTAGGTCTCTTTTGGAGTCTATGCGGTGACACACCTCACTGGACGAATATCGTTCAGTTCGAGGGTCCCTCATGTGACTCTCACTTCAACAAATCCTCCCGTTTATGACTGTGTATTGAGGTCCCTTGTACTTCAGTCTTTTTTCTCTTGGTCCTGGGTTCTTCATTTTATTGTAGAATCGTCCTCAGAATTAGTCATGTAAAATCACAACTTTAAAAAGTATTGACCTGCATAGTAAATGTCCCTTTGTGCCCATCCAAAGCAGAAAGGATCCAAAGTAAGACACCCAGGCACGCATGTTGAAGAGATGGTTCTGATGAACTAAGCTGCGCCTTAAGAAAGTGCTATTGAACTTGGGAAAACTCTTCTCTCCACAGCTACGTTTCTAAGTCAATGCTCAATTTACCATGTCTCCTAAAACTTGGACATAACTCAGTCGGCTACAGAGATGACTGCGAGCTGTATTTCGGTACTTCCGGGAAATGTTTATGCAGTGCAAACCTGCCTCCCTTACAGAAATTAACTAAGGCTGAAGCTAATTTTTATACCCCAAATTAGTATCTTAATTCTCCGAAGTACAGTGGTTCTCCTGTAAGAAAGACTAAACCATCAGAACCCCTTCATCTAAGGAGAAAATAGACAGTTTATAATGAAATTTTTGAAAGCCATAAAGAACAGGAGATTTAAAAACACAGATAGAGAAGGATAAATCCAACAGTATTCAAACTGGGACAATACATTTGCAATAAGAAGTGGCTTGTGTGCCTGAAAGATGGAAAACTCAATAATATTTATCTGCAAAATGGAATGAATAAGTGAAATAGTGAATGAGTGAGTGAACACATAAATTTGACCTTCGAACTGTTAAGATGTCCTTTACAAGGGAATGTTTGAACAAACCAAACACTGTACATCCCACATGGACCCGCTATGGATACACCGGATACCTCGCCCAATTTCGAGGGAACCACGCTGTGTTGTGGAAAGCCAGTCACCAGTGGTTCTGCCCCGGATTCCACTTGTAGAAGAGGCTTGGGATACAGTCTTTGAGAAGGAGAGCAGAGGAGTGGGAGCCCGGGGTTCAGGGTGGAGAGTGGGAGGGAGTGGCTGTGCCTACAGAGGACAGGCCTCATGGAGGAGCAGAGCTGTGTATCTTAACTGTGAGGGTGGTTCCACAGTTCTGTACAGTACACGTGGTTGAACGGCATACCCCAGTGCGCACGCACACACACACATACACACACATACACATTACACTCGTGCATGTAAAACAGGTAAATTCTGACCAGGCTCTGCGCTTTGCACCGATGTACATTTCTGAGTGTTGACACGTGCTAAGGGAAAGAGGCTGGAGCATGCGCCCACCCCGCCCGCCCCCTGGATGGGCCCTGCCCTGCCCAGAGCTTGCGCCTTCACCCGCAGGAGGGTCTCAGGCAGGGAACCCAGGTCTTGCTGTAGGAAACCCTCTTAGTACATGACATGAGGATGCCGAGGGACCGCTGTTAGAAATCCTGGTATCGCCTCCTGTAGTCTGTACCCCGCAGGGAACGGTGCCCCAACAGCAGGCTAAGGATGATGATTCCAGAAGGAATAAGAGTCAGACACAAGGCTCTTGTACTTTTATGCATGGATCATGAGGATTTATTTAAGGGTCAGGGTGGTGTTCATGTGAGAAAATCCAGCAGGGAAGAAGTACAGTAATTGGGAAGAGGTGTTGGTTGAGAGATTTCCGAGAAAATTCAGATTTTGGGTTCCTTTGGGAGAGAGGCAGGCCATGGTGGGCTGAAGGGGCGAGTCTACTTGGAGGCCAAAATCAGTTTAAGACTCCATTGGAACAGAGGTGGTACAATTGGCCTCTCATGACTCGTTTGAGTTGGACGACATTAAGAAGATGGTTGATGCCAGGCAGGTGGGCACAGGTCAGGGCGATCAGCAGCAGGAGCTGCTAGAACAGACTGGGCGGCAGCAGGGGGTCTGGCAGGAGGTGGGACGGCAGCAGCTAGAGATGCAGCAGGTGGGCCTGCAGCAGCTGGAGCCGCAGCAGGAAGGGCGGCAGTAGCTGGAAATGCAGCCAGTGGGGCGGCAGCAGGGGCTCTGGCAGCAGGTGGGGCGGCAGCAGCTGGAAATGCAGCAGGTTGGGAAGCAGCAGCTAGAGGTGCAGCAGGGTGGCCTGCAGCAGTTGGAGCTGCTGCAGCTGGAACCACTGCAGGGTGGGCTGCAGCAGCTGGTCATGCAGGACGTGGGGCGGCAGCAGGGCGTTGGGCAGCAGCCGAGGATGCAGCCGGTGGGCCTGCAGCGGCCAGAGCCGCAGCAGCTGGTGCCGCTGCAGGAGGGGCGGCAGCAGCTGGAAAGGCAGCAGCTGGTGCCACTGCAGGAGGGGCGGCAGCAGGGGGTCTGGCAGCAGGTGGGGCGGCAGCAGCTAGAGATGCAGCAGGGTGGCCTGCAGCAGGTGGGGCTGCTGCAAGTGGAACCACCGCAGGAGGGGATGCAGCAGCTTGTCACACAGGAGGTGGGGCGGCAGCAGGGGGTTGGGCAGCAGCCAAGGATGCAGCCGGTGGGCCTGCAGCAGCTGGAGCCACAGCCAGAGGGGCGGCAGCAGCTGGACACACAGCAGCCGGGGCGGCAGCAGGTCTCCTGGCCGCAGCCCTGGTCTGAGCAGACGGATCCACTACAGGAGTTGACCATGGTGTCAGAGGGTGGAGGGTCGGAGTGAGTTTCCGGGCAGGCGGGATGGAAGGTGTGGAAGTCCGCCTGCCCTGCTCCCCTTTTATACCCTGCTAAGGGGCTGCTGTCATGGGTGTAGCGCTCTCTGCCTGTCATCGTTTTTCCTCATTAACAGGAGATTTTCAAGTTAGTTTTCCGGGTTAACCTTTTCCAGATGGATGAAAACATTGTTTACTTTTCCGGATGGATTAGGATTCATCACTTGAGCTCTTCCTGAATCACCTCTTCCGTGCCTGTCCTCCTTCAGCTTCCTCAGAGGAAGCGGGCCCCTGTTCCCTTCCTTTGCACATTGTATGTCTTTGTCTTACGTTGCGTGGCCCAGCAGGTCTTCCCTTCGGTGATAAAGATTCTAATTAGGTGCGTTTTAGTTTGATGGCTCATTCACTGTGTGTCCGGTGGGCAGAGAAGACTGAATGGGAAACAGGGCATTACTATCTTGAGAAGACGGCTCTTAGGACTTTTCCTTCCCCATGTGTATGGTGTCCAATTTTCTAGATTTTCCCGTGCGAAACAAATAACTTGTCCTGCGGAGGAAAAACGAGCCCTGAAATTCTGATGCTCCTTCTTTCCCCTCAGCTGTATTGGGGTACGCTTCATATACAAAAGATTGCACATGTCTATTGCGTACAATTTGATGAGTTTGGACTCATGCATGCACCGTAGTACTCTTTCCACAATTAAGGTAGAAACCTATTCATCATCACTACAGGGTCTTGTGTCCCCAAGATTGAGTGTGTGTTCAGAACACTTAGGTTGAGATCTACTCTCTGAACAAAATTTTTAGTAGCATCATACTGTTGTTATTGGTAAAAGTATAGGCACAGTGTTGCCGAGCCAAAGTCTAAAATCTGTTCACCTTGTGTGTCTTTAGCCTTACACCCGTTGACCAACGGCTACCCATTTCCTCCTTCCCCCAGATCCTAACGCCCACCACTTTATCCTCTGCTTTGATGAATTTGACTGTGAGTGGTACCTGGGTGCTTGTCCTTACTCACTGTGAACCTCCTAAGGAGCGCCCACCGATGAGCCCTAATGATGAAGCATTTTCTCTCGCGGGGCGGCGTCGTGATTCATAAGCCCTAACACGGGTGACGAGTCCTGAGAAAGCACCAAGGGAGAGACATTTTACCTCCTCTACATGCGTCGAGCACGTGGTATGACGAGTCTGCAGCCGGCCAGTACCGCGGTATGACGGGGTTTTAAATAGCTCAACAAGGGGGATCATGGAGCGTTTCTGCTTCTGTGACGGATTTCCCGTGGCATAACGACTTCCTGGTCCACTTCAGTTTGACAAATGAAAGAATTTTTTGAGGCTGAATAATAGTGACTTTTGTTGACGTATCAGTGCTGGCATTTACAGTTCAATGGCGATACTGAGTGGCAGTAAGTGTGCCTTACATTGAACTGAACATTGAGTGAGGTCCTGTGCCTTTTCATTACGAACTGCTTCAGTCTCTCCTATGGATGTGCGGTGGGGGCTACAGAGCAGCAGTTCTCCGGGTCTGCCTCTCCCTGCGCCCGGAGGGCCGTGGCCCCCGTGAGGGATGGTGCGCCAGGGCAGGGCTGCTGAGAGGGGAGACAGCGTTCGGGGGTGTGGGTGGTTCTGATCAATTCTCCCAGGTCCCTCCAATGTATTCACAGCTCCCCAAGCTCACGTGCCCTGTGCACTGATAACGTCTCATGTAGATCTCAGAGAGGCTGTCACAATCCGTCCTGTGAGATGTGGTGTCTTCGACAAGGGTGTCAAAAGCTTTTTTTTTTTTTTCCATGATGGAAATTAATCTTTATTTACAGGACACAGTAAGATAATAAATTTCAAAATTAGAAAAACCTATTGAGAGGAGACGTTTCATACACTATGTACAGTTTGGAACTGTTCAAGTATAGTTCCATTGTAAAAGTGCTACAATATCAAACCACATTTAGAAAGAGTTCTTAGTAGAGAAATGGTTAAGACAAACTTATACCAAGCATAGTACACAACAGACAACACTTTATGCCTCAGCTGTACCATCTAGAAGTTCAAGGTCCCAGGAGTGCCATCCTGAACTTGGAACGTATAGCCATCAGAGGTAGTTTCTGGCACAACATTCTGATCTTCCTCTTCCTCTACAGAGAAATACTTCTCAATCAACTTCAATGAAGCTTTGTATACATATTCACTTTCATGGTTTTGTAGAGCTTCAATTTTGTCCAAACCTCCACGTTCTTCGATCATTATACCAAGTTTCTCAGTTTCACCTAGTTTCTCAGCAGCCTGGAAAATATCTGAAATGGCATCCAGAATAACCAGGATAATTTTGGTATCTTTCACAGTTAAGAGGTTATCCAATGGTTCTATTATGCCACAGTGAACAAGGGATACAATCTGCTCAACTGTTCCACCGCTTGTATAGTTGGTCACAGCCCATACAGCTTCCTTTTGTGTCTTCAAGTCTGCCTTAGACAGAACAACAACGAGGAATGGGACTATTCCATGATCCACAACTTGCTGTATCTGGTCCTGACGGCCAGCTGTGATGTTTGGCATTGTCCACGTAGCTTCCTCCTGAATATTAGTCTTAGAGCTCATTACCAGGCTGGGAAAGACTGCAAGTGCTCCCGCATCTATTACCACCTGAGTCTGTTCATCGGTCCCAGTGACGATATTTCCTCTGGCTCTTAGCGCAGGAGTCACAATTGGCAATTCAGTAGCTCCCAGGAGCTTCACGAGTTAGGGCACAACTCCTGTTTTCACAACCATTTCAATCCGTTGATTTGGGCCACCAGTAAGATAGGAGATGGCCCGGCAGCTCTCCGCTAATATTTCTGGGTCATCATGATGCAGGAGACGAACTAAAGTAGGAAGAATCTGCTCAACAGCATCTGATGGGGGTGCAGGATTCTTGTTGCGACAAAGGTTTGAAAGTGTCCAGGTAAGATTACGTAAGTAACCGCATGCTAAAGATGACATATCAGGAACTGCAAGAAGAGCTAACAGAGGATCAACTGCACCGTCCTTGATGACCAAGTCTCGGAAAACCGAACCATCACCTGCAGTGTTTCCTAGAGCCCATACAGCTTGTTCCCTGATGTGAGCATGGGGAGATGCCAACAGAGAAATGAATGCTGGGATAGCACCTCCATCTACTACAGCCTTGGTCTGTTCCGATGTTCCGGAAGCAATGTCAGTGAGGGCCCAGGCAGATTCAAACTGAATGGGACTCCAATCAGTTCTGCCCAAGAAGGACACAAATTTTGGAATGAAACCAGCCCGGATTATGTTGTCTATGGGTGGTTGTTTTCCCCTAGAAAGCAGTTTCCTTGCAGCCTGGGTAGCTTGGAGTTGGCTTTCCAAACTCTTGCTGCTATTTATGCCTTTGACAATGTCCTCAACAGACCCATTTATAATGCCCTGGTTGTTGCGGTTTCCCTACAGTGGAGAAGTAGCATCATCAGGAAACGAGCTTACATTTCTCCTTTTCAGCATCTGTTCATCCTTCTTAGCTTTTCTCAGGTCCACATTAACTTCTATTCGGAGGCGTCTCATTTCCGTACTGTCTTTCCCCTTGTTCTTAAATCTGTCAAGGCGGGCAGCTGGTGAATTAGCCTTCTCGTTGGTGGACATGGTTACGAGGCAAAGGGAGACGGCTACGCAGCCGGTTTAGTCTTTTCACAGGAGACGGTGCGAGACGCACAGGCTGCGGTTCGGTTGCTCTGAAAACGTCCAACACTGATCATCACGAAGACCATGTCAGATGTCAAAAGCTTTTCAACCGCCATGCTATCATTGAGCATAGTCGGTCTCCCCGAATGTGACGGCCTCCAAATATTTGATGAAAAGACTCGCATATTTTCCTTCTCGTTGCACATGTTATGATAAGACTGTCAGCCAGACCGAGGTGTCCGTGGCTCTGTCCTCAGGACGGCCAGTCCAAGAGAGGAATGGCTACCCAGAAACCATCTTCAAGTTGAACCTGATACCGAAGTGCCAGACATAATACAAAAACAGATGTTATGGTAGTGAGCCCTCCCTCCTCCCAGGCTCTCCTTGATTCCCAGAAGAAAATGTATACAGGACCACACTGATGATGTGTCCGTGTCCCTCATTTTTTGAGACACTGGCCTGTTGATCCTCCGGTTGCATATGTGAGAGAGGGACTGACCCTAATTATAGTAATGGGCTGATATCGGATGAGTGGGTGTGTCATGGGATCTATTGGAATCCCCTCAGCAAATATCTGTTTTGGAAAGCAGCCCGCATAGGTAGTCAGTGGAGGGACTTAACTCTACGCTAGTGTCCCAGAGGAAGAATCAAAGACCAGATGGCGGAGGCTGGAGCAAATGCATTGGAGGATCCTTTCCACCTTGAATGACTTATAAGTCTAAGAAGCCAAATTCCTCAGGATGCTCTATTTTGTTCTGCTGTGAGTGGGATCAATTTTCCCTTCTGCCCTGTCTCCACTTTTCAGGAGACACAAACAGGTCATAGCAACCTGGGCTCCTGATTGGACCTCTGCCGGCAGGCCTGGCTTGTGCTCAGAGTCTGCCTTGTCCTGATAAGGAGCCCAGGAGCAACATTGGATTGGACGTGTCCGAGCCTCATCTTTGGTCACAGAAATAGGAGGGAACAAAAGCAGATTCCAAGTGGTAGTGAGCGCAAAGGTCCTAGAGAGCCCCCTCACGGAGTCTGAAGAAATTCTACGAATTCCATAACACCTTTTGTCCTATGAAAACGTTTCCCGAGCCACTGTGATGACTGAGTCCTTCGGATATCTCAGCGGAGAGAGTTTTTATTTACTTTAATTTCCTATTTGCGTTATTCATAGTGTGTGTGTCTCAGGATTGGCTTCCAATAGAGTTTCTTTATTCCTCGTGATTTCTCCTAGTACGTTAACAGTTTCATTTTTGTTTTGAGTTTTTCCCCCAATGGAATTTGTTTTGGTTTAATGGGTGAATGGATAGCTGTCTCCTTTGTCCATCCTAGAGGTGACTAGCTTTCCTATGAAATTCTTGCAATAGTATTATCTTCCCATTGTGATTTAGGATTGAACTCTTCATTCTGTATTTAACTCCTAGAGGCTTCTAGGTCTCTTTTGGAGTCTATGCGGCGACACACCTCACTGGACGAATATCGTTCAGTTCGAGGGTCCCTCATGTGACTCTCACTTCAACAAATCCTCCCATTTATGACTGTGTATTGAGGTCCCTTGTACTTGAGTCTTTTTTCTCTTGGTCCTGTGTTCTTGATTTTATTGTAGAATCGTCCTCAGAATTAGTCATGTAAAATCACAACTTTAAAAAGTATTGACCTGCATAGTAAATGTCCCTTTGTGCCCATCCAAAGCAGAAAGGGTCCAAAGTAAGACACCCAGGCACGCGTGCTGAAGAGATGGTTGTGACGAGCTAAGTTGTGCCTTAAGAAAGTGCTATTGAACTTGGGAAAACTCTTCTCTCCACAGCTACGTTTCAAGTCAATGCTCAATTTACCATGTCCCTAAAACTTGGACATAACTCAGTCGGCTACAGAGATGACTGCGAGCTGTATTTCTGTACTTCCGGGAAATGTTTACGCAGTGCAAGCCTGTCTCCCTTACAGAAATTAACTAAGGCTGAAGCTAATTTTTATACCCCAAATTAGTATCTTAATTCTCCGAAGTACAGTGGTTCTCCTGTAAGAAAGACTAAACCATCAGAACCCCTTCATCTAAGGAGAAAATAGATAGGTTTATAATGAAATTTTTGAAAGCCATAAAGAACAGGAGATTTAAAAACACAGACAGAGAAGGATAAATCCAACATTAGTCAAACTGGGACAATACATTTCCAATAAGAAGTGGCTTGTGTGCCAGAAATTTGGAAAACTCAATAATATTTTTCTGCAAAATGGAATGAATAAGTGAAATAGTGAATGAGTGAGTGAACACATAAATTTGACCTTCGAACAGTTAAGATGTCCTTTACAAGGGAATGTTTGAACAAACCAAACACTGTACATCCCACATGGACCCGCTATGGATACACCGGATACCTCACACAATTTCCAGGGAACCACGCTGTGTTGTGGAAAGCCAGTCACCAGTGGTTCTGCCCCGGATTCCACTTGTAGAAGAGGCTTGGGATACAGTCTTTGAGAAGGAGAGCAGAGGAGTGGGAGCCCGGGGTTCTGGGTGGAGAGTGGGAGGGAGTGGCTGTGGCTACAGAGGACAAGCCTCATGGAGGAGCAGAGCTGTGTATCTTAACTGTGAGGGTGGTTCCACAGTTCTGTACAGTACACGTGGTTGAACGGCATACCCCAGTGCGCACGCACACACACACATACACACACATACACATTGCACTCGTGCATGTAAAACTGGTAAATTCTGACCAGGCTCTGCGCTTTGCACCGACGTACATTTCTGAGTGTTGACACGTGCTAAGGGAAAGAGGCTGGAGCATGCGCCCACCCCGCCCGCCCCCTGGATGGGCCCTGCCCTGCCCAGAGCTTGCGCCTCGACCCGCGGGAGGATCTCAGGCAGGGAATCCAGGTCTTGCTGTAGGAAACCCTCTTAGTACCTGAAATGAGAATGCCGAGGGACCGCTGTTAGAAATCCTGGTATCGCCTCCTGTAGTCTGTTCCCCGCAGGGAACGGTGCCCCAAAGGCAGGCTAAGGATGATGATTCCAGAAGGAATACGAGTCAGACACAAGGCTCTTGTACTTTTATGCATGGATAATGAGGATTTATTTAAGGTTCAGGGTGGTGTTCATGTGAGAAAATCTGGCAGGGAAGAAATATAGTAATTGGGAAGACGTGTTGGTTGAGAGATTTCCGAGAAAATTCAGATTTTGGGTTCCTTTGGGAGAGAGGCAGGCCATGGTGGGCTGAAGGGGCGAGTCTACTTGGAGGCCAAAATCAGTTTAAGACTCTGTTGGAACAAGGTTGGTACAATTGTCCTCTCATGACTCATTTGAGTGGGACGACATTAAGAAGATGGTTGACGCCAGGCCGGTGGGCACAGGTCAGGGCGATCAGCAGCAGGAGCTGCTAGAACAGACTGGGCGGCAGCAGGGGGTCTGACAGCAGGTGGGCCTGCAGCAGGTGGAGCCGCAGCAGCTGGAGCCACAGCAGGAGGGGCGGCAGCAGCTGGAAATGCAGCAGGTGGGGCGGCAGCAAGGGGTCTGGCAGCAGGTGGGACGGCAGCAGCTAGAGATGCAGCAGGTGGGCCTGCAGCAGCTGGAGCCGCAGCAGCTGGAGCCAGAGCAGGAGGGGCGGCAGCAGCTGGAAATGCAGCAGGTGGGGCGGCAGCAGGGGGTCTGGCAGCAGGTGGGGCGGCAGCAGCTAGAGATGCAACAGGTTGGGCGGCAGCAGCTGGAGCCGCAGCAGCTGGAGCCACAGCAGGACGGGCGGCAGCAGCTGGAAATGCAGCAGGTGGGGCGGCAGCAGGGGGTCTGGCAGCAGGTGGGGCGGCAACAGCTAGAGATGCAGTGGGGGGGGGGGATGCAGCAGGTGGCCAGAGGGTGGACAGCAGGTGGGCCTGCAACAGCTGGAGCCACAGCAAGAGGGGCGGCAGCAGCTGGACACACAGCAGCTTGGGCGGCAGCAGGTCTCCTGGCCACTGCCCTGTTCTGAGCAGACGGATCCACTACAGGAGTTGACCATGGTGTCAGAAAGGTAGAGGTTCTGTGTGAGTTTGTAGAAGGTTGACTGTGGACTTTTCAGAAAGTTTGGAAGTTTCCTGCCCTGCTCCCCTTTTATACCCTGCTAAGGAGTACTGTCATGAGATGCAGTTCTCTTTCCTTGTTGTTGTTTATCCTAATAAACAGGCAATTATCAAATTAGCTTTTTGTTTTCCTGGTCAACTTCTTCAAGATGATTCGAAGACATTGTTTACTTTTCCTGATAAGTTACAATTCATCAGTTCTGCTCTTCCCGAATCACCTGTAATGTGCCTCTCTGCTTCCACTTCCTTGAAGAAAGCTGTTACGTGACTTCTTCCTTAAATAGTCTACATCTTAGTCTCATTTTGCACAGCACTGCATGTCTCCCCTTGGGTGATGAGTGATGCTTGTAATGAGCAACATTCTTTCTGGTGACTCAGGAGGAGAAAGCTGCCATTTAGACTGATGGCTCATTCACTGTGTGTCAGGTGCGCAGTGAAGTTTTGAACGTGAAACAGGGCATCAGTGGCATGAGAATAAGAAGACTCTTAAGATATTTCCTGTTCCCGCTGTGTATCATGGCCCATTTTCTAGACACTCTGTGGGGTGTCTTAGGAAATGGCCCCTCCATGACCACAGAGAGCAGGTGGCTTCCTGGCCAGTAGCCGTAAGGAACAAGGAAAACAGCCTGTATCTGGAAGTCCCAGCCCCGTCAAGGCCCCTGTGTCTACCACAAAGTGTAGAATTTTCACGCACTGGCCCCTCCCTTACCCTGTGAGTAGCCCTGGGCCTGGAAGCGGCTGCGATCTCTCTCAGGCCAGCCTTCCGCCGTCACTGCAGTGCCCTGTAATGCGAGCGATAAGCGGAACGTCTGCAGCATGTTCACATCTGCTTGTCCTCCAGGTGGTTTCTTCAGAATATCACAAACACGAGTGTAGCTCTCTGGTTTGGAGCTCCTGCATTACACTTTCTGATGGGAAACAACATGCTTTCAAGTGCACCAGTGTGTATTGTTGTTATAAGCACAATATTGCGCAGCACATCTCTAAAACTTGTTTCTTTTGTATAACTGAAACTGGTACTACTCATTGCAAAACTACCCATTTCTTCCTCCTCCCATCCCTGGAAACCACCATTTTATTCCCTTGTTTGAGCTTGACTCTTTTCGATATTTCATGTAAGTAGAATCATGCAGTATTTGTTCTTCTGTGACTGACTTGTTTCACTTAACATAATATCTTCCAGATCCATCCATGTTATCACCAATGGCAGGGTTTCCTTTTTTAAAGGCTTAATAATACACACCTTCATTAATGTTGGCATTTAGAATATAAATGGTGGTTGGCAGTAAGTGTAACTTATAGTGAAGTTAACATCATGTGAAAACACTTTTGTCTTTTTCATTACAAACTGCTTCAGTCTTTCTTATAGTTGTGCAGTGGGGAGATACAGACCAGCAGTTCTCAATCTCTTCTACCTGATACCAGGGGTAACATGGCTCCCATTAATGATGGTGAACCTGCGGAAGAGCTGCAGAGTCAGAATACAGCATTAGGGTATGTGGGTGGTTCAAAATCAATTCTCCCACGTAATTTAAATGTACATTTAGCCAACCCCAACTCGTGTGCCATGTTGCATTAATAACTACTCATCTAGATCTAAGAAAGGCTCTGACATTTCATCCTGTGAGATTTAGAGTCTTGTGTAACAATGCCTAGAGCTTTTCCAGTCATGATCTTTGTCTTTCAACATATTCGGTCTCTCCTTACTTTATACCCTCCAAATATTATGATGAAAGACTTTCATATTTTATTTTTCATTTTCATATTTTATAGGAAGACTCTCAACCAAGCTGAGATGTCCTTAGCCCTATTCTTAGAATAACTAGTCCAAGACAGGAATGGCTACCCAAAAACCATTCTAAAGTTGCAATATTATTTTTTATGTATATATTAACTGTCTACATTCTTTTTTCCTTCATGGTGTGCGTGCGTGTGTGTGTGTGTGTGTGTGTGTGTGTGTGTGTGTGTCATTTTGTTGTTCTCATTGCTTAGAATAAGCTTAAGTCTATGTTTGGAAATCCCTCCTGATTTCTTTTAGAACTTTAATAGTTTTGTTTTTATATTGAGTTTTTTCACTCTAATGAAGTTTACTTTGGTTTAATGAATGGAGTATTATCTCTCTTTTGTTTTCTCCTTCCATTATCCTGAAGTTAACTAGCTGGCCTATATCATTTTATAAGTAATTCTTCCCTTACATGTTTATTTTAAATTGCATTTTTTTATACTTAATATCTATAGGCTGTTGGGTCTATTTCTGGACTCTATTTAACAGCACGCCTCCCTGTTTGAAAGCTCTGTGTAGGAGGGTCTCTAATGTGACTTGCGGTTCCAAAGTCCATAAATTTGGAACCTTGTCAAAATTCTCTTTTACTTGACTACACCTAGATCTCCCTTTTTCTCCCATGTCTATGTTATTTTAGAATCTGTAATTGTTTTCAAATTTAGTAATGTAAAATCACATTTTTAAGAGTATTCACTGTTACAGGGTATAGGAAAAGTCTCTTCGTGCTTATCCAAAGAAGCATAGAATTAAAAATAAAATACCCTGCAACACATGTGCTAATGATAATCTTGCTGAGATAAATTATGACTTAGGAAAGTGATACAGAACTCTTGGAAAACTATTTTCCTCCACAACTATATTTCTAGGTTACTGCTAAAACTACCAGGGCCCTCCAAATATTGAACATAAATAACTAGGCTACAGAGATCAATACAATCTGTGTTTTTATACTTCTAGTGCCATATTTCACCTGCTTCATACCTGCCTGCAATTCAAAATTTAACTGAGTCATAAACTTTATAATTACCCCAAAAAAGATTCTCATAAGAAAAGAGTGGTTCTCTTGCAAGGAACACTAAAATATCAGAATCCTTTAGTTGAAGAAGAAAATAATTAAGTTTATGATGAAAGTTTTAAAATCCATAAAAAAAAGAGATAGATTGATTATATCCAAGAGTATTAAAACCAGACTGTGTGTCTTGCACATGAAAAGTGGCAATATTTGACTCTAAGTATTCCTCAGTAAGTATTTCCAAGTAATAAATAGCCTATTTAACTTGGAACAGCCCAGCTGTCCTTCAGAGGTGAATGGTGGAACACACAAGCTGTGGTACATCCATGCCGTGGATTCTACTCAGCAATACAAAGGAACACGCTGTTGATACACGGAACAACTTGTATGATCTCAAGGGAGGGATGCTGAATGTAAAAAGCCAATCATGAAAGGTTACGTACTTTAAGACCCCATTTGTCTTGCTTGACATGCTTGAAATAAAGTTACGGAGATAGAGAACAAAGGAGCAGTTTCCAGAGCTTACGGGCGATGAGCGGGAGCGGGTAGTTGTGGCTGTGGAGGGGTGAACGGTGGGCGCCTTGCAGAAGCGGAGCAGCTCTGTATCTTGATTGCAATGGGGTTTACAAAAATCTGTACACGTGGTCAAATTGCATGCAACTATAGGCACACACAAGTGCATGTAATACTGGTAAAACCTGAACAAATTCTATGGATAATGTGCGTTTCTAAATTTGTTATGTATTATATTTATATAAGATGTGACTCTTGGAGGAAATTGGGTGGCGGGTACACGAGACTTTGCTATGCTATTTTTTCAACTTCCTGTGAACCTATAGTTATTTCAAAATTAAATGTAAAATGAAGCTAATTGGATATAAAAGGGAGCTTGAGTTTATTTGTCTACCATGCTCCTGTATTTCATTTTATCTTTATGACACTTTAATTTTTTTCCTTCAATCCATTTTTTATTTGAGAAATAAAGAGGTTCTTACAGATATGATACAAAATCTGAAAATTCTAGTCTACTGCCTTGAAATCAGAAACACACAGGTTTTTGAAAAATTATTTTTTTAAGTATAAGAGCACAGCGTAAGATACACTTCTTAGAAAAATGTACACATGCAAAACAGTATTGTCAACTATAAACACTGTGTTACATAATAGATCTCCAGCACTTATCTTGCATAACTGATACTGCGTACCCCTCGGCCAGCTTCTCCTCATTTCCTCCTTTTCTTAGCCCCTGGCAATCACAAGTGTACTCTCTGCTTCCATGAGTTCGAGTATTTTAGATCCCACACATCAGTGAGATTATACTGGGGTTGTCTTTCTGCATCTGGCTTATTTCACTTAGCATAATGTCCTCCAGGCCCATTCATGTTGTTGCAAATGGCAGGATTTGCTTCTTTTGTATTGTTGAGTACGAGGTATATATGTCACATCTTATTTATCCATTCATCTGTCTATGGACACTTAGGTTGTTTTTATGTATTAGCTATTGTGAATAATGTTACCATAAACATAGGAGTGCTGATATCCCTTAGATATCCTGATTTCAATTTCTTCAGATAAGTATCCAGAAATAGGATTGCTGGATTCAATAGTAGTTCTATTTATAATTTTCTGAGGAATATCCATACTATTTCCCATAAGAGTTATACCAATTTAAATTCTCACCAACAGTGTATCAGGATTCTCTTTTTTTGTTTACATCCTTGTTAACACTTGCTGTCTTTTGTTTTTGTCTTAATAACCATCCTAACAGGTGGGAGGTAATATCTCATTGTGATTTTGATTTGCATCTCCCTTATGATTAATGACGTATGCCAATCTTGATAGGTGGGTATAGGTGGGTATTGTGATTCTTTCTCTAGAGAAAAGTAATCTTAGGTTGAGAGAGGTGAAGTAACACGTTTTAAGATTACAACTGGTATGGGCTACAGTCAGGATGCAAACCGAACTTTAATTCCCAAGTCCAGGGCCTCTCCTCTGTACTGAGCTGCCCCTATTTAAATTGGTTTAAATCAATGTATGGGTCATAGATTACTAGGGACTTTTTATTTTTGTACAACTAAGGATAGCAGTTGTAATCCATAGCCTTCATGTAACACGTATTAAATTCAAGCTTTCTCTCTTTAAACCTTTCTTATTTCTGCTGTGAGACTGAATTCCGGCCTGGATGGAAATCTCATTGGTGAGTGCCAACTTAATTTTTCTATTGTACATTCCTGACAACTTCTGTGTTGTGTTCTCAGCAGTATCAGAAAAGAGACAGCAGTATCTGTTGAATATTTCATTAGTAAGAAATAATGAAAGATGAGCAATTTTAGTGCCTTTGAATGCCAAAAGTTTTATTGGGGAACATCAAGCAATTCCACATGAAAATGGATTCCATAAAAAAACATTAAAATGAAAATGCCTATAAGGGGAACAATTGAAAATTCCTACATTTTGAATCAAAATTATAAAGCATTTTGATATAGACTATAACTACAAAAAAAAAATACAAAATAGTATAGAGACCAGCGGTTTCCAAATCAGTCCACAGGTCTGTGGGTAAGTTCCTGACATCCGGAAGTGCCACATGTTTTGTTGAATGGGACACTCTCTCTGTGGACTAAAGGACTGGGTCAAGGAGGTTCAGGTTCAGAGCAGGAAATTCAGCAAAAAGAGCCACCACCACAGCCGGGGTGGCAGCAGGTTGTTCTACAGTCTGGCAGCAGCTGGGGCGGCAGCAGGTCTCCTGGCCGCAGGTCTCCTGGCCGCAGCCCTGGCCAGAGCAGACGGATCCACAACAGGAGCCGACCATGGTGTCAGAGGGTGGAGGTTCTGGGTGAGTTTCCAGAAGAGTGTATTTCTTGAATCTCAAGTCTCCTTGCCCCAGGTTCCCATTTACATTCTACTAGGGGAGCTCTTTTCTTACTGTTCACCCTAATTAAGTAAACAATTGTTCAACTGGGGAATTATGTTTTCTAAATTGGAAGGAAAACACTGTTTCCTTTTCCTGATGGATTAGGATTTCTCACATTGACTCTTCCTGCATCATATCTTGATTGTCTTCCTTTGCACGCATCACCTTGGTTCAGATGCTGGTAGAATATTGTAAGCGGAACATGCTGACTCACTCCATCTGCCCTTTCCTCCTGCATCACCTCCCGCCATTCCTTCCTTGTAGGCATCATTTATGTCCGCAGGCACTGCAGCTCCTTCCATAGAGCAGTTGTCACTTGGACTTTGACATGAAAGAAAGAGTCCACATGTAACTCTTACCCATCTGTGGGTCTTACTCTGCTCACAGTTTTTGCAGCATTACTTATGGAAAAAAAGATTTAGTCACAGGTCCAGAGGATGGAATCTTAACATGGAAAAATGAGGTTAAAGCCATCAATGTGGTCAGTTGTAAGCAAAAAAAAAAAAAAAAAAGTCAGGAGAATCCAAGACACCCAGACTGTGTTCTTGTCCCATTTCCTGGACTTGAAAATATTGGCAGTTTCCCTCTTTATATAGAACAAATGGATCTGGAATAGATGTAACCCTTCAGGAATCACCATGGGAATTGATAAAGTCCTTATGTTTCTGAAAAATATTTATACACAAAATAGAATATACTGTATAACCTCCATTAGGTAAATATATATATATATAGAAAAATATTGACATAATTACCAGAAATATTAATAGTAATTATCTCTGATTGATGGGCTTATGGAAACTTAATTTTCTTCTGAACACTTTAATCTTCTAGCTTTTCTTTGACTTGTTTTTCTTTTGTAAACAGAAAAAAAAAATGTTTTCATGCTCCTGCAGTCTTTTGAGATCTTCTGGGGGAGGAAGAAACTTTCCTCTACCCTCTGTGGTTCTTTCAGTTGGTCTAATAATTAAATTTATATGAGATAGATTAACAAGAGAAAATAACAAAATTTAATTACATATCTATGTCTGGGAACCCCACATACATGAAAGATTCAGGGATAAAACGTTAAAATGAGGTACACATGGCATTCTGAGTTTAGGACAAGGTAAGATGCCTTGTGGCTTTAGACGCGTGGCAGGTCATTTGCAGAACAGTAAGAAAAGCAGGTGTTCAATAATTAGAGTTTTCCCTACCCTATATATAGGTCATAAAAATTTATTTTTGGTAATAACTCTTATTATGGTCAAGGCCCCTAATTTAAATTCTTCTAGGTAGTTAAGCTACCCTTGAGCCCAGAGGCTCTTGGTTACCTGTAGGTCAAAGTAACCTGCATACCCTAAAGACAGATCTTGGGGTGAGTCATTCTGAGCCCCTACAATATCTGGGGCTGATGGCCGGGGGCATCCCAGACCAGCATGATGCTCAGACAGTGGCATCAGTTCAGGTTTATCAGTTGTTAAGATATTCAAGTTCTGTTGGTGAGCAGCCACTTCCCTGGGCTCCCTGAGTCCCCCCGCCACGTCCTGTAATCCAGAAGAAAAAGGAAAGGCCAAGGATCCGAGAGAGGGCTTCAGGCTCTTCCTCTAGGGCTAAGCCTGAAGTCCAATATGATGAGTTGGTGACTTTGAATGACTGGCTTTTAAAGTTTTTGAATCTCCATCCTGCCCTAAAATGCTGATTGGGGCTGCCCAGTGGCACATTTCACAAGGGAGCATTCAGCAAACAAGTACACCTTCACGTTGCGTAGTGGGCGAGAAAGCAGTGCCTCCCAGGAGGGGAGGGGCTTGCTATGAATTGGGAGAGGAAGCCGCGAGTCCCAGGCAGGAGGCCCAGTCCTAGGCTCACTTCTCAGTACCCAGGCCATCAAATAGTCTGACTCCGGAGATCTGAGGAGGAGCCTAGACTTCCTTTGGCTAGTCTCTATGGTTTCCAAAGTAGTTGTGATGCATAGTTAGAGTTTCAAATTTCCAAATGAGATACCAAAGTCTAAATGGAACCATAGCAACAGGACAACTTAAAGAATGAAGCAGAGCACCTGTGGAATTGGCATAAATGGAGCCGCTGTGTGTTGCTGGTGGGCTCTAGAGAGAGTTTTGGGGAGGAAAATAATTTTCCCTCTACCCTCCTAGGTTCTTGACTGACATGCTCCTGTAATAAAGGACAGACAAAGAGCAGAAAAACAGAGGTTTAACAACATGTATACCTCCTATGTACATGGCAAATAATCAGGAAACCTAAGTCCCCCAAATGGCACAAGTCAGCACCTTAAATACCATCTCCAGCTGAAGGTCGTGGGAGGCCAGCCATGGGAAGCTATCAGGAAAAGCACAGCAACCAAGGGAAAAGTTGTGCAGGTTTAGGTTGCCTTTTCTATGGAGAAGAGTCTCTAGAGATTGACCAGCAGTCACCCTTCTCTGGTACAGAGCAGGAGACACCCTCACAAACAGAGACTTTCCTTAAAAATGTAAATGTCTCTTACAGAAAGGGTGACTTCTCAGTTTTCAGAGCTTCTTCTGCCCTAGTGTTGCGTGTGTGTTTTTTAAAGTCATCCTAAAGTAATCCTTAGGCCTAAAAAGGCATATTTTGTGATGAAACACTCTAGTTCCTCTCAGGATAAATAGGTGCAAGCAAGCAATAAACATAAGAAAAGATGTTTAAATTAACTTGTATTTAGGAACATAAAAAATAGAGCAAGGAAATACTTTTTTTTTCAGATTGGCATGCATACCTACCTACCTACCTACATACATACATACATACATACATACCTAGCAACATCATAGCCAGCACTGGTGACGTTATATAGAAACTAAAAGGTTTATAAATGTGTTGTGAAAGTGTAAGTTGGTACCACTCTTTGGAGGGTGATTTGGGAGTGATTATTAAAATTATAAGACAAATCTCTAATCCAATAATCCCACTTTAAAGTCCAAAAAGCTATCTTTTCTTATCATCCTTTGTTGCAACTTCTCCTCTCTTGATTTTTAAATGTTGAAATACCTCCATGGCTCTGACTTTGCCTTTGTTTTATTTATTCTCTAATTACCTACACACTCTGTATAACTTCATCCAACTCCAAAGTAACCAAGAACAGTGCATTTTTACCTCTATCCCTGACTTTTCCACGGAGCTCTGAACTTCCTGCTTGATATCTTCATGGGGTGAATAATATTCATTCCCTGTTGACATGGTCAAAAAAGAACTCTTGGTCTCCCTCTTCCCCCAAATTTATTCTTCTCTCAGTCTTCATATCAGTAAATGACACATTTGTAACCTCAGTTGTTAACTTAAAATTCTAGATGACCCATGATTAATCCCTTTACTTGCCATTCATGTCTAGGTCATTGTTAGGTCTCCGCTGTGTCTTCAGAACATTTGCCAATGCATTCACTTCTCTCTGTCTCCGCCACTGTCTTTGTCCCAGGATCTGTCTTCTCCCACATGCACTAATGTAACCATCTCTTAACAGGTCTCTGTGCTTTCTCTTTTGCTCATCTACAATCCATTTTCAGAGAGCAGCCACCGTTATTCTTGTCCTTAAAGCCCTTCATTCACTTACCTTTGAACTTAGGAAACACCTAAGTTCAAGTTCTCAAGTTCTTGATCTATGATGCGCTTCCTACACTAGTCTCTACTCACCCCTCCAGGCTCATTCCTTAGACCTCCTCCTCACCCCCAACTCACTAAGCTCTAGGCTCACTGGTGGCTTTTCTGTTCCAGTTTATATTATAGGGTCTTATCACTTACTTTTTTCTCTTCCTGAAAGGCTTGAGCTCCAGCTCATGACCTCTAGCTTCTCAACATCACGCAAGTCTCAACTGAAATCATTCCCTCCCCACGAGAAGCCACCCCTGACCTCCTGATCTCAGGAGCCTCCCCAACCTCTCATCACAGCTGTACTCTTTGTTTTTTACTTGTCTTCCTAGTGCCTCTTTTTATCTGAAATTACCTTATTCATTCTTGTGCTTATTGTCTATGTTGTCCTTCTATAATATAAGCCCTTCTTTGCTGCTGAATGCTCAGTAGCTTGAAAAGTGCATGGTATATAGTAAGCATGCAATAAATATTTCTTGAGTGAATGAATAAATGTGCCACATGATTCCACAGGAGGGAGTGTGCTAAGTGTACCTAGATATATTTATAGATATATTTGTATAAACGAGGGAAAAAGTCAGGAACGATGCCCATCATTCTAATCTAAGGATGGACAGAAAGTCATTATGGAGACGTTTACTTCTCACTTTCTGTAATTTTTAATGTTGTGATTATTAGAGACACTTTGTCGTTTCTGTATTTTTCAAATAAAATCAAATTTTAAAACAAGAATTGGCTTAGCTAAGAAACATATGAGCTACGGTTTCTCGTTATGAGCTCTTTGCCGGACCACGTGTGACATTGCTGGTCTTAGAGCAGGGCCTGAGGATGAAGGAGTGTCGACTCCCTGGCACCCTAAGGACGTACCCAAACCCCCTAGCATGGCACCAGTGCCTACCCACCCTGCCCTCCCAACTCCATTTTCACCGCCGTTGCTCTTCCATCTTCCTCATTGCCCTGCGTCAGCAATTGTCAACCTTTTTCATTTCATGGCACACATAAGCTAATTACTAAAATTCTGTGGCATGCCAAAAATATATATGTTTTTGGCTGATTTGACAAAAAATAGATATCATTTTGGTTTATTCACACCAGATAGCTGCCATTGTGAGGGCTGTTGTCATTTTTTTTTCTTTAACACTCTAAGGGAAAAGAGGTCAATGCCCCTGACTAAATAGTCAGGTACTGCATGTTTTAAAAATTCTTGGGGCTCAAAGGTTGAAAATTGTTACCCCAAGTCTAAGCCACCTTTTCCAGACTCTGGCCTTTATATTTCTGTCCAGCTCCTTGGAAAATCTCCTTACCATCTACCTAGCAAAAGCCTAGCCCAGTGGTACTCTATGATACCTGCTCTTATTCCTTCAAGCAGTTATTTGGTGTTATTCCCTTGATATTCGCACAGAGCTCAACCCACCTGTGTTACGGAGCTGCAACCATGTTATCCTTCCTTGGATCCCTAAAATCTAGCAAAGTCCTTGGCACCCAGTAAATAAATACTCAGTAAAAGTTTTTGGAGTTTGAGAAAACATTTAAATAATGTTACAGACCTTTTTATAATAAAACACCAGGGTATAACATGTCTTCATAGAAACAGTATAATGAAATCTCATTAAATGAAAAAAAAATGAGAAGGCAGATCAGTCTAATTTAGTTAGCTAGAAATTTTAGAGATAATGCCTTTCAGCTTATTTCTAATACATTTAAACCATAATTGAGAATCCTCACTAAAGAACACTTCTATGTGGTAAGTTCAAGGCTTAGGATATGATTTATTTGTAATTAGCACCAATTAGATCCACACTGAGTTAAATATATCTCCTGTAATTATATTTACCTTCTCAATTTGCCTTACAAACAATCATTTTATGGAAGATGCCAAATTTCATATGGGTACAAAAGAGGGAAAATTAGCATGCCCATGTCCCAAGTGGGATGTGTCCAAATTAATGAGATTTTATTGTGTGACAGTCATAGCAAGAGATTTACAAGATTGAGGAGGCATTCGGGACATTGTTCTAATCCTTTTCTGATCGTTCAGGAAATGTGTCATCCAAATAATGGGTTATTGCCCCAATGCATAACATTCCCAGGAATGTGCCGTGCTCTTAAAATAGATACTGCCCTCAGAGCGAAAGCGAGTCATTGATTCCACAGCCTTCAATGTTCTGGATGTGCACAGGGCCCGGGAGGGGTTGGGTTGGGGTCCAAAAGAGCCCCACGTGACTCATACTTGGGATCACAATAGTAGGCCCATGTTTGCAGACATGCTGCATGTTGGCCAGAGATGTTAATTTTAAAAGGTCTTTGTTGAGTTTGATAGAATCATAAAACTGGAGTACTGCTGAGCTATAGATTATCATTTGCTGATCTGTTCAGCAAACAGTGATTGACAGCTCCCATCCTCTGTCCCAGGTACTATGCATGAACCTCCATACTACCTTTTTCCCTAAGATTTAGGAGTTGTTATCTCCTCTAGCAAGCCCTCCCTGATACTCTTCGGCCAAACCGCCACCCTCCCTTAGGTACCCCACCTTGAATCTTCTGGGATCTATATTCCATATGTGTTTTTCACATGGTTTTGTTTTTACTTTTATTTTTCCATTACAGTTTACATTCAACATTATTTTGTATTAGTTTGCGCTAGATAGCATAGTGGTTAGGCAATCATATACTTTCCAAACTAGTCTTCCCAACATTTCATGTACCTACCTGGCACTGTGCATAGTTATTACAATATTATTGACTATATTCACTATACTGTACTTTACATCCCCCTGACTGGTCCGTGACTACCAATTTGTACGTACTCCCTTGCTTTTTTTACCCAGCCCCTCTACCCCCTCCCCTCTGGCAACCATCAGTCTGTTCTCTGCATCCATGGGTCTGTTTCTATTTTGTTTGTTCATTTGTTTTGCTCTTAGATTCTACATATAAGTGAAATCATGTGGTATTTGTCTTTCTCTGACTGGCTTATTTCACTTAGCCTAATGTCCTCTAAGTTCATCCATGCTGTTGAAAGTGGTAAGATTTTATTCTTATTTACCCCCAGATAAAACTTCATTGTATAAATGTACCACAGGTTTTTCAATCCACTCATCTATCGAGGGGCACTTGCATAGCTTCCAGATCTGGGCTCTTGTAAATAATGCTTCAATGAACATAAAGGTGCATATATTCTTTCAAATTAGTGTTTTGAGGTTTTTTTGAATATATACCCAGAAAGCAATTTTAATGTCATTACTTTTCCTGAGCTTCCTGAGAAAAGATACTAATGGGTCTTTTTTATAACCTCCATGCCTGGCTCATAGCATGGCCAGGGGCTGGCTCTGTATACATGGTTGTTGAATAAATCATATAACCCCTACCTTTGAGAAACTCAGAGTGAAGAAGTAGAGAAATGAATAAATAAATAGTAACAATACAAAGAATAATTCTATGTAGAGAACCTAGTACTATGAACTCCCTCATGGTAGGAGAAATAACTAATTGTCTAAAAGTGATACAGAGCCCTGGCTAATGTGGCTAAGTGGACTGAACATCAGCATGTGAAACAAAAGGTTGCTGGTTTGATTCCCAGTCAGGGCACATACCTGGGTTTTGGGCCAGGTCCCCATTTGGGGGCGTGCAAGAAGCAACTTGTCAGTGTATCTCTTACACATTGATGTTTCTCTTCCTGTCTTTCTCCCTCTCTTCCCTCTCTCTAAAAATAAAATCTTCAAAACAAAATGAAAAGTGTTGCAGAAAAGGGAATTAGGAATAAGAAAGGGACAGGTAGAGAGTGACCTTGAGCCAGAGATGCCAACACATGCCACGGCACAGAGGCGTGGGAGAGCATAGCGCGTCCATGGAGTGCTAAGTAGCTTTGGAGAGCTGGAGACGGCAGTGGTTCTACAGCATTAGTGTGCTTAAAAATTAAGTTGGGAACTTGGTAATGATGCTAAATTCCCAGCCTACTCCCCACATATTCTGATGCATAAAATTTAAGGCCACAGAAAATTTCATTTTATATAATAATAATGTATCAAATTATTCTGATACAGGTGGTCCCTGGATATTGTCCAGGATGGGGGTGGCGAAGTGGTTTCAGAAAGATCAATTTGCATGAGATTGCTCACTTCAGTGGAATTAAGTGAAAACCCATAGACTAGTGAAGAATTGGAGAATTTTGCCAGTTCAGTGTTGGGCGGGGGTGTTGGGCTAGTACTTTAATGTATAATATTTCTCATGTACATTTTTCTACTTTGCCACCTTCTTCGTATTTTATGCATATTATTAGTATTGGCGTGAATTACTTGATCTCCAAACCTTTTAAAGCTTTTTAGAACATGCTTTCTCATCTGGAAGGTCACTATATTTGTATAAATCAGGTAAAATGGAACCACTCCAGTTGGAAAGGATGGCCCAGCTCCCAGTCCACAGTCTGGCAGCAGAGACAAGTTTTCGGTACCTTTGAATAAAGATTGCCTTCATTGGAACATAAACATCCTGCTTTCATCTGCTCCTCTCCTTTGCTTTGTTGTATGTGCCTGTGAGCTATATACGTTCTCCTGAATTTTCAGACTTCACACACTTTATTTTGAGGAATCAATGTTTATATATTACTCTTCTCCAATAGAATAGATTCTTCTTTCTCACCACTATTACCAGCATATCCTACCTGACATATGTCTTTCTATTAAATTCAAGATCTCATTGCAATTTACCTGAGGGATGGGAACTGGGTCTCATTCAACTTGTGAGCTTCCCAGAGCCCAACAGCACAAGGACCTTGCTAAGTGGTTTATAATTCAGTTCAGTAAAAAGGTGTTCTTGTTTTCTCTCAATGAACTTGATGGTAGACAATGTGGGCAATCTGGTTGGAAAAACACTAATTATTTGGCATTTTCTCTGATATAGGCTTTGATTGATATAAGCAAAATCAGTATCTTTGTTCCCTTAACACATATTCAAACTTACCTCTAATTCACAATCAACACTAAAAAATAATTAAGGGCTACAGATGTTTCTGATACCAGGGGACTAAGTATTTATTGAGAGACAGTTACTTTATCGCACATAATTCAGTGTGAAGGCCAAGCCTATTCCATGAAGCAGGGTGGACATTTAGTCATCTGACTGAATGCCAACTTGGAGCTTTCGTGTGGTATTTAGATTAAATTGTTGCTTTTCAAATAGTTACTTTGTGACAGGGATTAATAAAGATGGTAACAGCTTAGAACAGGGCCAGGTGCTTTGGAGAAAGGAAATGAGAACAAAACTGGTACACAAGTAGTTGACTCAGGGCTGGTGGTGAGAAACAAAGTTCAACAACAAGAGGATCCACAGCAGACCGGGCGAAAGCAGGTGGTACGGCAGCAGGTGGTCTGGCAGCAGACTGGACGGCAGCAGCTGGACACACAGCAGCTGGGGCGGCAGCAACCGGAACCACAGCAGGAGGGGCGACAGCAGCTAGAAATGCAGCAGCTGGGGCGGCAGCAGCTGGACACACAGCAGCTGGGGCGGCAGCAACTGGAACCACAGCAGGAGGGGCGACAGCAGCTAGAAATGCAGCAGCTGGGGCGGCAGCAGCTGGACACACAGCAGCTGGGGCGGCAGCAGGTGGTCCTGCAGCAGGTGGTCTGGCAGCAGCTGGGGCGGCAGCAGGTCTCCTGGCCGCAGCCCTGGCCAGAGCAGACGGATCCACAACAGGAGTTGACCATGGTGTCCGAGGGTGGAGGTTCTGGGTGAGTTTGCAAGAGTGAGTTTTCTGAATCTCCTTGCTCAGGTCCCCTTTTATACCCTGTTGAGGCAGCTTCTTCCTTGTTATTGTTTATCTTAATAGGTAAGTAATTATTCAATTATGTCATTATAACCATTTTTCTTGCAAAATTAGATAGAATGCATTTTTCCTTTCTATTATATATCTTCACTCTAATCTTTCCTTCCAATCCACTGTTGTGTTTCTCCCTTGTGAGTATCGTCTCATTTTCAGGACTGCAGCTCTCTCTTCCAATTGGCTGGGATGAGATTGACCACTTGTTACTAAGTGTCCATGTGTTTGTTTTTCCATGACTCAACCTAGGCCTAAACTGTGAGTCATGGGTTCAGGACACCGAGCAAATGGGACCGCAGATGTGGAAAGTCAACGGGAAACAATTCCCACTGAGAATGATGTACTGAGGGATCCTAGAGAGGAGGAGGCAAAGCCCCCTCCCCCCGCCGCCCCTACTCCATGAATGTTTCTTGAGCAGCGAGCAGAGATGTGGCTCTAGGTGCAGGCTGGTGATTAGTGAGTTGGAGAAGGAATCCCAAAAACTGCATTTTTGGCATATTTTCTCATGTCATTCCTGATTTTTATTGGTAATGTTGCTCTGTTTAGTATGTGAATTTTGTATGACATAGATAAAAACCTTGTTAAAATATGGTTTGAATTCAAAATGCGGTAAAATGTGATTTGTACTCATGATCATTTTTGTTTCGTCGACGGCATGCTATGTCTTCAGAGATGCATTCCAGTGTAAGCAGCATCGAGGGGAAAAAGTGACCTGTGACAATGGCCCTGGTCTCTTCTCCAAACTAGTTTGAACTAGCATATGGCCAGAGGGTATACTCTGTCTTAAAAAGATGATGATTCATAGTTAATAATCCTTTTGATGTTGACTATCTCTCCCGTTTCCGGAAATAAGTTCTCATCAGTTATCTACTAATTAGGAGAACAGGCCTACCACTTATTTTCAGAAAATTCATAATATTTAGGGAATGCTTCCTCCTTGAGCAATTGTCCGTGGGCCATCAGAAAAAATGTCATAAATAATAACCAGGAAAATTTTGTTCATTGGTCCCAAATTTGGAAGCCAGTGTGTAAAAGGTCTAACAGGGAAGACTTCACATTCTGAGAATGTTTCTGCTCAGAAGTCCGCCTTTTATACCTGACGCCATGACCCACTCGAGCTGCTCCGCTTGCTGCCGGCCCACCTGTTGTGGGCCCAGCTGTTGTGGGTCAGGTTGTTGCCAGCTTTGCCACCGTCTGACCTGCTGTCAGACCACCTGCTGTAGGACCACCTGTTGATGTCCCAGCTGCTGCTGCTGCCCTTGCTGCGTGTCCAGCTGCTGCCAGCCCGGCTGCTACTGATGCACTTGCCCACCAGAAACTCATTTCTTCGACCATTTAGCCAAAGTTTCTGTTCCTGGAAGACACTTGCGTCCTAAATTTGCTGAGGAACAAACAATGTGCTGACAAGACTTCTTTGTCCTCTTTGTATAATTCTTGGGCTCTATTCAAGGGTGCAGTCTACTTCCCTTTGATTTGATTCTTCTTCGTTTCCTCGTGATCAGTGTACTGGTTGGCTCCATCTGATTTTCACAGGAATTCATGGTCTCAGGCCTGACCAAAGTCCTCATCACCTCTTACCTCTATGATGTTGAAACAAAATATTAAACTATATATTTAGCTCTCCACAATGATCAATATTAATCATTTTTTTTAGGTGTATGCATTGTGTTTAGTCATTTAGGTTACTGAACTCATCACAGTCAGTTTGGATTCTCTTCCTACCTGTTCTTTCCTAGTAAAATCTGTACCGTCTTGCATCATATGGTATTTTATTTGTTTGTTTGTTTATGGCACTTTCTTTATGAAGCCTCCCTTTTGAGTTGCATTTTATACATTTTATCTGATTCAGGCCTCACAGTGGCCACATAGGATGGGCAGAGCAAAGCTTATCATCCCATTATTGCTCTCCCTTTTATGATCAGAAAATGATTGGCCTGAGTTGTTTGTACAACTCGGGATTGACACAATAAGTCCTCTGCACACAGATCTTTTGGTTCCAAGGGACAGGCACTTTCATTTACATCTTTCTACAGGTAGAAATAACACTGGTTACTGGGCAGAGGAAAGGTATATATTTTGAGTTGCTTGTCTAACAATGGAAATAATTACACCTTTCATACACAGAACCGTTTTCTCTGTACAGAGCTCTTCCCAAACACTCTTCCTACTTCTGTGACCAATAGAGACTACTTAAAGAGCCTTAGTCAGCGAAGGCAGCCCTGGCAGCTTCTCTGGGCTCTGACCCATGCCTTGCACAATCTGTCATCAGAAAGTCACGTGAGCGTGGCTGGTACTCCTGGCCCTCCCCTTGACCAGAGGAACCTGTTGTTTGATATCATAGAATTGACATTGGTATTATTTCGTTTATCTCAACAGAAGTTGGGATTAAGATTCACTCTTGCAAAGCACATGCGCTCAGGCTATATATCCCAGACTCCCAAACTTTGAGGCAGTTTGATCTCCAGACCTGGACATTGTTAAAGGAAGATAAATGTCTAGAGTTGTAAGAACTGAGTTAACTGTTCAATGGACATATAACTCTTTGATCCAACCATAACCTCTAGGCCATAAAAGGAAACAGTACAACTTCCCATGTTCTCTGAGATAAAGACTCATAAGCTAAGGGAAATCAAAATCAGGGATGTCAGGAAAAAGTAGGAACAAGGAACAAGAAGGAAGGATGCACTATTCAAAGTCAAGATGGGCATTAGGTTGGTTTCCAAATGGAGGAAACTTGGATCTTTGGATGAAAAACCAAATAATAAAGAGAATAGCTATATTAACTATCAAGGGTTAATATAGCTCTGGGAGAAAGATAAGTGTTTATTATTTTAAGAGGTCACCCTCTTAAGAGATGTAAAGATGTTTATGGGTAGTTAACACACTAGATGTAACAGAAAGTGTGAAGCGGGGTTTGCTTCTTTTGTTTATGACTGTATCCTTGACTTAACATAAGCCATATCTCAAAGTTACAAATTAGACCTCAGACCAAGGCACTAACAAGAAGCCATGGCACATCCAGAGTTTAGTCCTGACCTAAATGACTAAAGACTATGCAATTTGTTTACAACCCCATTTACTTTTGCAGAAACCTAGTGGAATAGGGCGTATGACCATGGAACACCTTAAATTTTGTCCAGTAGCAGTTACTATGCCACAGATGGAATTTTCATTAAGACAGATCAACAGCTTCTGGTCTGAAAAGGGAGTGGAAAGTAAGAAATGCTCCCCGTGAAACAAGCTGTGATCAGTACACCTGGTTATACATTTGGTTGAGAAGAAAAGTGGACGAGGAAATGGTGTTCATGGGCTGTGGGTCCGTGGGGAAGAGGTTGGCTGATTGGTCTGAGGTCTGGAAGGGGTAAGACAGAAGGATCAGAGATGCAGGGAGCTGGAGAAGAATCTTGTGGATATAACTAGGTACGTGGACAGAAGGCGTTCCCTCGCTGTGTCCCACATCAGTGCCCACCAGAGAGTGGACATGAGACAGTCAGGGGTTTGGAATAACTCACTCTGTCTCCCTCCCCGGGTGCTCCAGTACTTGCAGATAGACCACAAACAGCGTCATTACAGTGGCAGGGACAGAGGCTTTGCGTGGGACCAAGAGCAGGAGCTCTCTCTCACCACGGCCGCCTCTGCTGAATGTACTATTTGCCGGCAGCAGGGACTGATGCCAAGCCCTTAATATGGTGGCATCCCTCATAAAAACTAACTGAAACAAGTGGCTTAAAGTTGGGGATCACAATATAGGGTCTATGTTTTTCCAGGAATTACTTATTTCCTTTTTTTTCCTACTATAGGTACTCAGGAGAAGAAATCATACAAGAGTTTGATTTACATGATGCCAAGAACAAGTCCTGGTGAATGAGCCTCTCTTTAGGAGGACACGCAATGGATGTTCAAAGTTACCTGATGCAAACAGATTGCACAAGGGGCTGGTCAGAGCCTGGAGCAAAGAAAGCCCCCTGCATTCATGAGAGCTCTCAAATGCAGCCACTGCGCCCCTAATTGAAGCTCTCTGCGTCCCGGCTGAAACAGCAGCAGCTGACCGAGGTGCGGGACACTGATTTGGGAAGAACTCAGCCAGCACACATGTAATTTGCATATGTAAATTACATGTGTGCTCCTTCCATCGTCAAAGAAGAAGCTCAAGTACACATGTTGCTGGTGTTCTGTCCCAGTTTTACCTCCACTTGTCCCCACAGGTCCACGTAAGTGCCCCTGGGAGGAGCAGGAGCCCTGGTCTTCTACCTGAGTCTGTCTGTCACACAGAGAAATGTTCGCACCTGAGCAAATGGAGAATGTGACTGAGGGGGCTTTCATGAGGCTCAGAATGGAAATGCATGGGGTGCGCAATGAGTGATGTAGGTCCCTGTATCAGGAATGCTCTATAAATCAACAGCTTGGGATGATAATGGCACAGGATTTATTAAGAAATACAAGTAAGAATTTCTGCATCTACAGAGACAACTCGCAGTAATAATAAACATTTTAAAAAGCAGGATATAAGAACCATGAGTATGCTGAAAAAGGAACATGATTATGGAGACTAAGATGAGTAGCAGAAACCCAAGAAAAAGTTATGAGAGTTAGTTTTCCTGAGTTAACTCAGAGGATGTTAACTCCATATCATGGACGCATGAAGCCAGCACAGGAGCCAAAAGACATGGGAAAAGAAGCAGGGTGAAGCCCGCTGCACTCTGTCAATCCAGTTCACAGCTTTTAAATAGGCAGAGGAGTCACAAAAATGTTGGTGACCACATGCTGGCTTTCAGCAATGTTTGGAACTAAATTTGTTTCCAAAATTGCAAGTCAGTTAACAGAAGGTGTTATGTGAAGATGGTCGTTCTTAACGCAGGGCGATCAGCAGCAGCAAGGACGGCAGCA